AGACGGCCGGTCTAGTTAGACTAAGCCACCATTTGGACCAACGAAACGAAATGTATAAATACTTGCATTTAGATAGGACTTCCAAAAAACCACAGTCACACAAATTGAGTGAGTACAATATTATCATATAGTTAATTTAAAAATTAAATTATTTGTATTTTTTATGGAGTGTTTTAAGGAAAATTTTACCTTACCTCCAATCTAAAACGATGCCACTTATTTTTATGCCGCGTTTTCACACAAGATTCTAAGAATTCAAAAGCTAAATCCAAATAAAACTAGAGACACCATAATAGTGGTAGGTCTACAGTTTCAGACTTCGGACATTTCACGGTCTTTTTTATTACATTATCTAAGATTTATCTATTGTACTGAATGGCTTTTGAACTGTACTTTTCAATGTATTTAAAAAACAATAGTATTATTTTAATAAACAAATAAAAAATAATACACATTGTTATTTTAATTTTGAAATATACTTTGATCAAAATGTCTACAGACCTTAACTTGTTTAGAGATTGAGAATTATTTTTTTACGCACAAGTTGGTGAAACGTATACATACATTAAAAATACACATATTAAATTAAAACTATCAACACACTTTTGAAAAATCATAATTTAAAACCACTGAACAATATAAAATATGCATAAACGAATGCTTAAATATATTATAAATTTACACTACTATGTTAACCGTCTAGTTAATTATATTCTACACGGTTTGTCATTGACATTGATTTTTTTGTGTACGAAAACATATGAAGTTAACAGAACTGATCGATAGGGTTAAAAAAACAATATCTATTGTACTAAAATAGACATTGGGTATTATTGCAAACAAGTTTTTTATACTGCTGTTGAATACATCATTATTAATAATGGGTACATTTTTTCTTTGTATTGTTTAATAAAACAAAAACGTTTGAATGCCTATAAAGTTTAATAATATACATTTTTATGAAAGTATTGACATATTTTTTATGTCTGTTGCGAATATTTTATTTTATTTATTGATACCTCTATTGGATTTGCCCAATACAGCTTGTACGTATAGAATTTTATGACGTATTGTTTGCTTATACATAACTGGTGTTAAAATATGTCAATTAAGCTGTTAATCCATCACCGTAAATTCAATCGCTTAAATTCAATTCGCTAGCAATTTATTCAATTTGAATATATTTAAATATTTCTCATTAGGATATGAACTATATAGTATATATACTATAAAACTATTCTCATAATAATTATACTGATAATTGTTATAACACTTTTAAAGACAAACTTTTCTCGACTGAAAATCAAATAGTTATCTTAATTATTTATTCGTGCCAAACTTACAGAAATAAACCCCCACCTAACACAATTCAAAGTATAGTTTTACATAAAATATAGTTTTTTGTTTGAAAATATAAAAAAAGTCTGTAGAATTCATTAAATTGTTAAGTTTAAAGAAATTAAATTTCTGTGCAAACCTAAATAAATGTAATTAAACAACAATTTTCAATTTGACTCATTAAAAAATGTATTATTTTGTTAAGGTCCTCTCGTCTTTTATAGCCAACTATTACTTAGAAGATTAAGTAATACTTATGATTTTATTTGTGAATTGTGTATATTTGTTTAACCTTTGGCGTATTTAATAAACAAACGAATTAGAATTACAGACTAGACGTAACTGCAAAGTTTACTTCAAATATACTTATAAGAAAAATTTCAAAAATGTGACGCCTGCAAAGCAAAATATCACGTCCTAATGCTTAACAAAGAATTAGCTCAGAAAATATTATATTTATCAAAGAATGTAATGAACAAGAGTTGTTTTAAATTTAATTTTCTATAAATATTATGGTGAGCATGTTTTCATACGAAGCGGTTACAACAAGATATTAACCAACAACTAAAAAAAACACGGTTATTTGAAAAAAATGTATTTTAAAACTTTAAAGGTTGGAGGGCACGGGTTAAACTTAACCAATCGACGTTAAACTTTGTACGCATTTTTTTTTATGCACATTGAAACCACTTAAGGGGGTAAGACTGCAAAAAGGGCCTCCTTAGTGTATAATAATTTAAAATAACCGTCGCCCGATCGATTACTGAGTCTTGCAAAAATAGAACGTTCAATTATAGTACTCGAGTCCCTTTTAATTTTATTACTCTTCTTGTTTAAATCAATCTTACGCTTAACTATCATTAACATAAAACATTATAATCCTTTGACACTAGTCATAGTGCAAAAAATAATTATGCTATTTTTGAAGTAAATAATAATATTTTTTTTATCGCAAAAGACATACAAAAATAACAACAATAATAAAAAACTATTCTAGTTAAACTTTCGGCTTACCTAAAATTGAAGAAAAAATAAATGTTAGCTATTCATCACGTTTCTGTGATACTTAGATTCATTCGCGGTACGTAGTAAAAAATAATATTATATTTTCCCCAACAATAAATTCAGATTCACATAAAAAAATTAAATTTACATAATTTATACTACATTGTTTCTGAACAACTAAATCCATTACAAATAAATATCCAATGTTGTGTAAAACACTAAAAATTAGGTATACAAAAAGTGTTTGTGACTAAAACTTGAAATGATTAATAAAAAAATCCATTTGTCACATTAAATTTATTATTATTTAATATAGTTATTGTCTTTTCTTAATTATTTAAATAGCCAAAAACATGTTTTCCTTGTTAACTTGTTATAACGCGTTAAAAATAAACTATAAATATTCATTGTGTTTAATTATAGTTCGTAAAAAATATGTATATTTCCACATTAATCTTACACTGTCTTAATAAGTTAGAATTACTGGTATGTTAATTAATTTAAATAGAAGGATCAAGGAAGCAATATAACATTTGTTACAGTAACAGGATGTTGGAAAATAAAGCAAGTATAACCTGTCAGAATACAATGAAGTAATAGTTTGCACAACCGCGATATGTTTCCATTACAATAAGTCAGTATATTATAATAAAACCAAAAAATACATTTAAGCTGTTAAATAATCATACATTCAAATAACGTTGTATGTTAAAATACACAACACATTTTCTCAGTAAAAGAGAACTTCTTCAATCCAATCACGTATGAGCTATATCAAAGTGGTAACGTTTAAATTTTAAATATCATTAAACCGGTAAATTGTTCTTTTTCTAGTCTATTTCACTCACTCCAAAAAAAACCTCCATAAATTTTATAGTTTCTGATTGATCCACTATTTTCGGACAAAAATAACCGAAAGAAAATAATTATAATGCTATAATATTATTATTACATTGTCTTTACTTTAAATATATAAAACACAACATCCATGATCTAATTCGTCAATTCAGTTTTAGTTAAGTAGTATCCACTATTAGGGCTTTCTAGTAGCCATTATTGTATTTTAAATATTATTAAAAATTGTAATATTACACATGTTTTAACACATAATTATAATTCTACACTTAAACTATTAGTATTACCGTAGAGGTACAGTGTATAACAATTATTATTAGGTACATTTCTACTAAAAATAAGTTACTTTCCGAACAAGAAAATCAATTATCATCGAAATCAAATAGTGTTAAACAAACAAGCGTTGTCTAATATAATTATTATTGTCAGTAAGTACACGAAAAGCAAAATAATATTATATTTGTTTCAATGAAAAAATTCTGACGAATGTGATGTTGTTCTGATGGGGTTTGCTCGAATTCTCTGAGAAAAATAGTATGCTATATTTACTGGTATACGGTATAATATTATATACAGTATAAATATTTATATTTTTTCAATATTGTCACTATCATAAAAGCTAAGATATTCATAATAATTCGTGTTTGCAAAATGTATTTCTCGGGTGTATAGTTGTACGTGATAAAAAAAATACAATAATATCACCCATCGTGTGAGATTTTTATACATAAGAAAAATGTACTTTTGTTCACGCATCGCGGTTTCTACAACGTTTTTGAATATGTTATTTTTTTTGGGGGGGGGGGGGGGGTTAAAAGGGCGCTAGATGCACCTTTAACATTATATTACATCACACCGTGTGTCGTGATATAATTTAAAAAATAATCAATCTGCTCAATTTATTCGACTCTAAAGTTATGTTGAAATCTATAGTTTATTACTACTATTATTTTAAACAAGTGTATTTCATAAAAGTATTAAACATCAACGAAGTTTGTGAGAAATCCTAAAAATATTACTAAACAACTGACTAACTTTATATATATATATATATATGTATGAATCGATAATCTTAGATGTGTTTCCACCATTTTGTATTACGTTAGGTCAGTTTGGAATTTTGAAACAACCTGCTGAATACAACAAAACAGTCCTATTGTTCACTCATAAGACCAACGGTACAAACAGTTTTTTCTTTTAAAATGGCAGTGTTCTCACTAATTTACACACTCAGTTATAGTTATTAATCCAATGTAAGTTTGGTCTGAGTATAAGACGAAACCACAAAATCTTGATACTTCAGAGAAACCGAGGACGTTTGTTGCATTGTGTCGCACTTGGTTATTTTCTACCATATAACATAATGATTCATCTAAGCCTTTCGTTACTGACATCCTTGAACGAGGATTTAACTTTAAAATTCGAATAAAATATTAACAACGTACTACCATTATCAAAAATATCTTTAAACACAAGTTTTAGTATAGATTGATGATAAAAAAATCGACACAGCTATATTGATAATCAATACGTTCAATACGTAAAAAAATTGTCGATTTTTTTTTTCGAAAAAAAAATCCCAGGAACGAAGGGTTAAAAAAAAAATGTGGCCAATGTCCGTCCTGGTCAAATTATCATATTATATTATAAATAACCATCTTCTATTACCACCGGTTATATTGCTCGATTCTAAGTATTTTTATCAGTTTAAATAAGTATAGATATTTAAAAAATCTTATCGCATTGATCGGTAAAACTGTATCGAATATGAATATAATAATTGTGTTTTCACCCTCACTTACCTCGTACCGTCAAAGATGATAACCGTTCGGACGATCCAATAAGTTCTTCATGGCCATGGGGTTTTGTAGATCTTCGCGTGGGTCCACGGAGCTTTCAACCCGATCGAGAAACTTGAGGTTTACAAGTACAAATTTTCTATATTTTTGCGGTGTTTTTTTCTTGAAAAATCAAACGCACCGATACCGATGGAAGCTTTTACGGGGCGTTATGCTTGGTGCCGCGACTAAGGGAAACTAAACAAAGCGAACGACACTGTCGCCGGCAAAAGTATGAAAGGGCGCGTATCGAGCGCCCTAAGCGCTGTTCTGTCCCGTTAACTCCGACTATACCCTGAGTCAAACATAACCTAACCTAACCACATAATATAAGCACTATGTTACGGTTAAACAATTTCGATAAGCTCACAATAAATAAACGGCCAACCCTAAATTCCCTAGGTGGATGTCAATGTTATTTTATTCGGACAACGGTTTGTGCCGTAAGAAAATTGGTCGATCGGAAAACTAAAAAATTAACCAACATTCAGTTATTTGTAACGCTGTGGTATTTATTTTTCAGTGCATTGCGTACCCTCGTCTTTGTCGAGTATTCGGTACACTCACTATGACCCAAATTTCGCGTTCAGGAATTCCGCGTAATAATAAAGAACGCCGTTCTATATCTTTGTTGGAGATAATAATATAAGGCATTTGATGCACGAAAGGGCGTTAACCGATAAAACGGAATATACCGGCTATACTATGAATTAACTAACAGTGTCGTACACAGAAAATTTTGCCTATTTTATAGATCCTATCAAACAACTGATATTGTTAACTCAGAAATATTATCAAGTTATTAACTTGATAAACGATTGAATAATAATAAATCCACGTATAAAACAAAAATCCTACCTTTTTATTAGGTGTATGTTACTAACGATAATGTTATTCATTAGGGAAGAGTAATCATTATTGTTCGCTGACTTCGATTATGATATAAGAAAAGTTTTCAGTATACTTTTAATAAGAAACCAGAAAAATATTTTTTTATCAAACTTTATATAACAAATTATTTTTATTGAAATTTTTGTTTTATTAATTATATATCAAAAAATGATATAATAATTGTATAGCGGTTTTTTATATATAAACATATATTATTAATAATTATTATCAATTATATGTACATTTTGATATCAAACAATCTTAGGCATTACATACTATACAAGGCATTTCCGAGTGTGTGAGATTTTATGCCCTGTCACATTTATGTAATTATCACAGGTTTTCGATTGGTATTATTGTTTGTCTCTTGGGAAGAGTAAAGGCGTTGTTGAAGGCTGTTATATCCTATAAGTATATATATTTAATACAATACTATCGTGCTAAAGTTCCTACAAGTGCAGCGTGGTTTAACGGTAAACACTAGCTAAATTGTTTTCCCTTAGTCGTATATTTTGTTTCATACTATTTAAGTTTAATCGACGTTTTAAAGTTAATAATAACAATAGATACAATTTTTTTTTATGAGTTTTCAACATTTAACAACAACAACTGAGTATAGGTAGAATAACTTAAACTTAAATTTAATTTTTAATAAAATGTGCACTATTTCTTTTATAGTTATCAATATTACAGCAATGCTATTAGATGCAAACAAATGTAATTATTTGTTTTCTATAAAACAAGCTCTATGAATCTTTTCCACTATTTTATTGTGTATTTTACAAATAACACTATACAAATTGTTTTGAAAAAAACGTTTAAAATAATAAAAGCACTCGCAATCAATACCTACTGGTAAGAAAATAAAATAGGTTTTCCAATTAGTTAATTGCAGGTATGATAAATATTAATGTCTTAAAAATTAAAAAAAAAAATTAAAGCTAAATAATCTTTTATTTTGTGGTTATTAATTTGACTAAATCATTTTTGTTTTATTCTTTACTAACAACCATGGTTTTGATATTCAACTTTGCCAATAACTCATTTCCAATTTTAACTTAGTTATCTTCACAACATATTGCGGTGTTAAGTAATATCTCAAACAGTCATGTTATCGCAAAACGTGTGAACAATATGAAATAACTATTTGGAACCAAAATAACACAACTAACAAGAATTTGCATTGTGATCATTATCAACAAAAGTTTTCATCTAACTACCAAGTTCGATTAATTTCTTTCCGTATTGTACCCTAATTTTAGTTCCGATATCTGGTTCATATTATTGACTCAATTGCGTTATCTCTATAGAAATGCTATCATTATTTAAGCTTCCACCTGATCTTTACATCCCCAATGGATCGCAATGATCTTTATCTGAAACTTTATTCCTTAAGGCAATCGATTCTTAATCATACTCTTAAGTTAAAAAGTATTAGTTTTCCTTACCAACTTTTAATGTTTCTATTGATAATACAAATATACAAAAGAGTTCTGTAGAAAGAAAGCAGTTTAAGGGTATCCTGAAAATAGCCCAACATCCGAATAATAAAAACCGAAATGGGTGCACTTATTGTGATATCGGTTTACAGGATCTTTTAAAGTTAAAATTATCGCTATTACAATACTGTACAATAAAGATAATAATTTATGATCAATATTTAAATAAGCAATTTTTAACATCACTTATATAGTTAATATTCCTTAACCGTATCTTTCCCCCATTTCCAACGATCGATAAATGATAGTACTCCAAGATTCATTCCAATTTTTTAAAAACTGATATTTAACCAATAAATTTCTTCAAAGAGTCTTTCAAGCTTTGATAACCAATAAAATAAATATCGGATACAATATGTGTGCATTTTGAAATTCATCCTTTTAATTGTCGTTAAAAAACATAATATATAATGTTTGATTTAACATTAATAAATATTTTTAAAAAAATTATTAGTAAATACTAAGAATTACAAAAGACTCACACATGTTTTGACCTAACGTATATCAAACAATACTAGTTTAATAAAATCATGTTTACCGAAGTTAAAAGCAGGTCAAGTTCACCCTTTTAAAAAAAAACACACAAAATTATGAGCTGTAACTTTGAAGGAATGGAAAAACAAAATTTCATAATGTAATATTATTCTAAATAGAACATTTTAAAAAGTTTTCTTATTATGTACACATTTTTTACATTATGTTATTTTTTGAAATATATTGTACTTTTTCAATGTGAATGAATAAAATACAAATTTAGTCTTTATAACACCTCAAGATACGGTTTTTGAAGTGGTGTCATTATATAGTTATTTATTATTTAGTTGTATAGTTTGTACATATTATATTGTATACACATGAACGATTTCTATTGTTAACATGTATATAATAAACAACATTGACAAGGGGACATTTTTTTAAAATTAAAAATAATCACACTTCTTTTGAGTTAGTCGTAAAAAAATACGTGTTGTATCTTGTAAAAGGTTGTATTTTAAAATATACAATGTCAAGTTAATGGTTAAATATAATAACGTTTTATCATTTTGTTGCTGTTAAACATAACAGTAACAATAATATTATGCCATATTATGATTCAATAAACCTAATGATGATGAGAAAATCGCTATAACGATGACCTGAACGGTGTTCAAGTTGAAGCGAAATAAAAATTAGGGTTTTTAAGTGTTGTTATTATTTAGCTTTTTTTTTAACACAAACGTTATTTGTAACCGGCCTTATATCTAAATATCTATCTAATGGTGAAGAAGGGAGGGCTTGTTCTCGACAACAACATGGTTTTTTTTTTTGACAAAATTTGCCAGTGACAGTGTACATAATATTGTCAACCGAGCACAGAGCATTCAGTAATAAATGTTTTCTATATGAGTTTTTTTTACAAAACATATTATTTATTTTGACGAACAAGGTTAATCCATACTAAGCCCCAAGGGCTGTGCCGACGACGACCGTGTTTAGTTTGTCGATTCTCTGCGCACTTTTGGAATCTTGTAATACGGTTATAACGTTATAAATAAAAACTCAACAGCGGTAATTCGATTTGTCGACTTGTCTGAACGTCTTAGTTATTGCGGTCGATGGTTACAGTGTAAGCTTGCGACAAGTCAAAGGTAAGTGAACAGACCGTTGTGCTATGAAATTTATTTTTGTTAAATAATAATCATAACCAGAATGAAAATTAAATTTGTTAGAAACAGTCCCATTGGTAATACGTTAGTGTAAAACTTTTTTTTCTAGCTTAGATAGGGCGCTGATAAAGTTTTATTTTTACAACGACGTGATTTTATTTATTTATTATTATAATTTTAATTATTTCCAAATTTGTAAAAAATATTTTTTAGATATACCACTATGGTGGAAACTTTTTATTTATTTAACTTTTTCGAGCGAAGTGTTAGGCCTTAAATTAGGTCTGACAATTAGAATAAAGGTAAAACTAAAATAAGGCTTTAACATAATATACATTTTTCTAAAAAATCTGAAGTAACTTATTTTTATTAAGGTATAATCCCCCAAAAAGGGAGAAATTACACTTTGGCCGTAGCCAGTTTCTAGGATTTTTTTTTGTTGTAAATAACCCTCCCGTCTTAGCTGCATCATATTGAAAATCATAAGTTCTATTTTTACATGTACAACAAGAAGCTCTAATCATAACTTATGAACCTAATAAAAATATTAACGTCAATAGTGGGGTACAATAAATATTATTTTTATCATTATTTACACTTTTCTTCTCAATAAAATATATAAAGGGCACAGGGGAAGAAGGGTAGTAGTCCATGTATGAACATTTTAGAATATAGCAAAAACAAAGTTCGTAAATTCCTCTCCCTCTTACATAAGAACAAAAAAAAATCATATTAAGTGCTATTCTAATAACAAATGTATTTATTTAAACAATCTATTGACATAAATAAAATAAATTAATGGCATATTTTGAAAAAAATAATTCATAAATGGACTACTATCCTTCTTCCCCTGTGTCCTTCATATAAATAAATAAAACAACAAAATTAGTATTTATAATCGCGATTGTTGATTAGACACTAAAATGTAGAAATATTCATTATTATTGTCGAATGCATATACATTTTTTGCCATTTAATAACTCTAGTTTATCTAAAATCGTTAACATTTTATCACAAGAAGAATAAAAAAAAAATACAGCACGAAAAATCTATGTCTGACATTCTATTTTTTTTTCTTTTACAAGTCAGTTTGAAGTATGAAATATCGTCACAGTTTTAAAACCATGGTCATACAAATTAAAAATAAATCACAACGTTTAATTACTTTTTTTTGTTTGCTTTCGTAATTCAAGTACGTGACGAATGAACTAAAAGACTAAAGTGTCTTTTGAAATTGCAAAACAACAATAGTTTTTATATGAATAGTTTTAAATTGAAGAACTACCGTAGGTAATTAGAACACAAAGCTTAACAACTAAAACTAAAAAAACCTAGTATGATATCTTGTCTTACTCTAAAGTGATAAAGCAAAAATTGTCCTTTATAATACAATGATTCTATAAACTGTAGCTGAATTGTTGTTGAAACCTTCAATTTTATGAATGTAAATTTGTATCGTCATGTTAGATAATATAATATCTTTATTGTTACTGTGATTTCCGACACTTCATAATTTATTACGTATGTTAAGAGGGCGTCACACCACTTTTTTTCGGCGCGTAAAACATGTCTCAGGATATGCAATTTTCTGGGAAACCGAGTGGGTTTAGCGTATACTTGCTAATGAACAAAATTAAAGATTAAGAGTTTATCTACATATTAACAGAGGTTTTTTCGATTATGTTACTAGCTAATAACCGAGTTGTCAATAGTTGCGGTTATTACCTTCTTTCAAATGAATTTGTGTATCACTTAGTGGCCTCGACGGTGAAGCGAATACACACCATTTTTTTTTTTTTTTTTTTATAGACACCATTTTTATTTTGAGACAAAATACATTGTTTTCATTATGACTATAAGAATGGTAACGAATAATAGGACTCGATGTGTTGAGTATTCGTACCAACGACCGATTGCCTCATTATCGTTTGGTCATTGGTATGTCAGCTTAAACAGCCGATTGTTTTCATTATTATTATTTTGCCGCAATGCCGAGTTACTGATTAATATTCATCGTTATTACCACTTTACCGCTGCTCATCGTCGATGCACTACACGCTTTCGGTGTGTTTTTGACTTTTGTAGATTTTTAAACTTTACGCCACCATACGCACCTTGAAAACCTTTTTCACGCTCTACCAAGTTCACATACTTTCCGCGCCCAATTCCCTTGGCCTCCATTCATTTTCGGACATCATCTTCATTGTCTTCAGTACTGTCAACACTCCATTCAACATTTCCGCCGCACGTACAAGGTCTCTTTTCGTGAGTTAGTATTGTACATTTGTGTATAGTTTTAGATTGAGTAATATTGCAGTATCGTGCTACACGATTGTTTTTTTAGTTCATTAACATTAGCATTTAAGAAATTAAGTATAACTACTGTATAGTTTACTTTATTCAAAATATTACCATTGAATTTGCATTACCCATATATTTCTATTTTTAATTTATATTTACAAACATAACTTACGATACAGATTCCCATTCTGCAACCTTACTCCTTGTACATAAACTATCCTGGTAAAAAAAGATCAAGAGCTTTATTACAAAACACGATGTGTTGACAGTTTTTATTTTTTCAACTACAAAACTATTGTATTAATATTTTTCATTAAAATATTCAGCATTGATATTATTATCCAAAAGTTAACTAGTTGTAGTTTGCGAGGGGAAAATTAACTCCCCGAGTTGGAGTTTCATCGGCATTGCAGTATTGAAGAGTGTAGTTTTTAATTAGTTTTTGTATAATATAAAATATCCCTCTGTTGTTGTATACGCAATGTTTAATTTAACGCAATTTTAACACACAACTTGGTTTTTTTATTTTGTTTGTATTAACTTTTAACTTAACATACATATTATTTTAATTCATGGTACAATGCATATATTCTTCATTAACAAAAGATTGTTACATATTTTGTTTTATTATTCTGTTACCTAAACATTAAACACATAAAAAACCCAGAACAAACTTGACAGTGAATATTATTGTAATAATCAATAATTGTATTATTTTTTATTTAATTTTATGGTAATAATTCAGCTGCGTTAATTTTGAAATTTAAAAATATAGCATTTTCATTAGCCCCGCTTAGTTATTCTTTTCAACTACCATTACATTTTTAAAAGCATTATGCTAAAAATCATTTTTTTAAAAACTGAAACTTTTTTAATTGACGTTTAATGAGAATTTACATCTGAAAACAATTAAAAATATATCTTGTGTCAAATTACAATAGAAGTGTTTTTGGAAATACTATTCGAGTATTTATTACCTTCAGAACTATGACAATTTTTTTCTAAAAACTATTGGAAAATTATAAATATATTTCAGTCCACAAAATAAAAAAATGTATACAACCACCTTGACAGATATCAGTTATTATCGCAATTAATGTTCTTCTCAAAACTAAAGTAACATGTTTTCAAAAATACTAAATGTTTTTGGTTACTTCCTTGCGATTTCTAGTACGCTAGACACTTAGTCTGTAATAAACTTGAAATATTCTGTTTGTATAAAAATTTTAAATTGTTAAAAAAGTCTGTTGTAGTTACGATAAGCTCATTAAAACAATAGAAAATACCAGGGTTCCGTAACGTAACGAAATATAACGTTATAAACTCGATTATTTCGTTCACCAAAATAAAGTTCACAGAACATAACATAATATTAGGATATGTTTGGTGAACGTTATACCGAATAAGGTTTTAAATTTATTTGCTCCGAGAACGTTATAACTTTTTTTACCCCGAGAACGTTATACCAAAAAACATTTTTAGTTTATTTGTTCCGAGAACGTTATAACGAAAAACGTTTTAAACTTATTTGCTCCGAGAACGTTATACCGAATAAAGTTATCATTTGTTTTACCCGGAAATGTTAAAACGAATTTTGCTAAGTTAGGTTAGGTTAGCAAAAATAGTGATCTAAAACTGGTTATCGACCAGTCAAAATGTTTACTACATTATTCTTTATCACTATTTTTGCTAACCTAACCTAACTTAGCAAAATTCGTTTTAACATTCTCAGGGTAAAACAAATTATAACGTTATTCGGTATAACGTTCTCGGAGCAAATAAATTCAAAACGTTATTCGGTATAACGTTCTCAGGGCAAAAAAAGTTATAACGTTATTCCTAGTTAACGTTCATGAACATAATTTTGAACTGAGCGAATAAATAACGGTTTTTCCTTTTCTCGATGTTTAGCTAAAACACATGTAAAATACGTAGGTTTGCTAGTAAAGTTAAAATGTTAGGATATTTTCCCTAACCGTACTATTTATTATACTTTCATAAAATTAAGAAACATTGAACAGTTATACAAATGAAATGAGCATTGAGATTTCCTAATTAGACTTTTTATTTCTATGATATTATTATCTAATTTAAACTAACAACAACAAATATTTACATAAAAAAACAATTATAATATGAAACAACATTTTTATTTTAAAATAAAATATACAAACAGAATAAACTAATTTGCTAAGTTGAGTACACATTAGGCTGTCGCTTTTATAATTATGTTGACATTTGCTTCTTTTATGATAATGCGTTAAAAAAGTAATTTGCGCTATGGCTTTTTCAAGCAATAAATAACAGCAATTCAAGTGTCACGACTAAAAATTTTAATTTTATTATCATGAAAAAAAATTAAAAGAAACCATAAGTATTTGGAATGCCATTTAGTATATTGCGGATTTATTTACTCTTTTGACGTGACCTTTCAGGATATTACTGAAATTGCAGTCTTCCGTCTCGCTGATGATTTTTGAGCTGACTTTGCAGTTATTTATGTATTTTTTTTAATTTGAGTAGTATAATATTATAAATAAAGAAAAACCAAAACCAAAACAAATATAAAACAATGTTATAATTATTATGCATAGAAAACGTCTTTGGTTGTAACTGACGTAACAAGTCAATTTGTAATAATTTATGAACGATTTAGGTAGGTACATCGATTTTGTATAGTACCTAAGCTGGTAGTATGATCGCTTATAGATTCAATACCTATCTTATCTTAAATGGATGATTATGCAGTATATATTTTTTATTAACCACAGCTCCACGGTCATTGGACGTATCTATAGTACGTATATTGTAGGTACAAACAATAATACGATGAAAATGATGAAAGCAGTGCATTATCATGGAACAGGGAACTTAGAGTTATATACAAGTGTAATAATATGGTAATGGGTGCACTTAGCGTGAGTAACGATTGCACTCACGTGGAATATTTGTTGGCTACCATTTGTATGCATTACTATGTGTCTCCGAACGACCAGTGAGGCTGGAAAAAATACATAAAATCGATTTTCTTTATAGGCTTTTTGATTAGAAAAAACATTCACATGCTATGAACCAAACGCAGTAAAAGTCGGAATCCGACATCAGTAGGCATACGATTCTTAATAATAGTTCCTAGTTACAAATTAAAATTATGTGGATTTGAAAGTTAATAGGAATTTCGAATGACTTGATAATTATTCTAGATTATTTACAAGCGAGTCGAATTCAGTTTTTTATTATAGTTTTAGCGACAAACAAGATTAGAAAAAGCGTTTGTTCGTGGCCGAATATTGTAAAAATTCAGACATAGGTCGGATTATTTTTTTGGCAACCAAAAGCAATTTTGGCCAAATACTTAAACAATGTACTCAAAACCCTGCTAATGTCAGGAAACGTTTCATATTTTTAATGGAGTTTTAATTATATATCTTTTATGAGGTATTACGCCGTGCGTTATCGATTTCAAGAGTCATCGCATTTCGGTCGCTCAGCCGTGACCTGTAAATGATTTGACCTTTTAAAAATATTCGCTCTGGACTCAAAGTAATTTTATTACTGTGTTATTATTATTTAAAATGTTCGTTATAGTTCCGTAATTCTTGTGAAATGGGCTTAAAGCTGTGCTTTCGTCCTCCATTTGACATATTAGATGTAGACGGGGCTAGATGGAAAATTCAAGATGAAAAATTGTTCAAGAAAAAAATCAAGATATCCAACAGACAACCAACTCTAATCTCAATTCTTCACCGGTCAATCTTTAATTTAGAGACTATATCGTCTACACTTATATAAATCAGGCTTTGATGAGCTAGGAGATACTTCTATCATTAGTTTTCAATAGGATACTAATACTACAACAGTTCTATATGTTTTGAATAACTAAATAAAAAATGTATGTACTGTTTTTTAGATAGGTATATATAACGTGTACGACGTGTAAGATGTTTAGTCCATTTCCATTTCTATAATGCTCTCCCTTCCCTTCTTTAAATTTGCTGTGCGCGTTACGGCCATTTTAATACGCGATAGGTAAATGAATAACCGGTGCGTTGTTAAAATTCTTTATAACCGAAATTACATTTTATATTTTAATATCTCGATTTACAGAGGGAAAACTTGGGCTCGTCTACTTTTGTGCTTTTTATGAGAGTAAAGCGATCGTTATGAATAGAAAAAAGCAATTTTATGAAAATAACGGTTCCTTAACAATTCAGTACTATTAAATAAATGTTCTAAAAAGATTTATCATTTCTTATTTTGTTTAACGTCAGACAGTTTAGTTTAGCGGGAAAAACCTTTGTTTTAGTAATTTGAACGATCCATGTGGATTTAGCTGTTAACCTTCAGAGCATGTGCCATGTATATAATATTATATATTATAGTAGTATAAGCTTTATAGGAAAAATAATTATTTAACATGCCAACCTCAAAAAAACACAAAATAATATTAAAATTTATGTGGATTATACTAGAATATTTCTCTGGATAATTCCGAAGCTTTTATAATTTCTACCAAAACCCGATAGAAAATATATTTTTCTTGTAAGCTTGAAAGAAGTACCCAATAGCCATATCTCCGATATAGTTGATCTTCAGTTCTTGGAAATTATTATTCCTCATAACGTTACTATACCTGAAATATGTATTATCAAGAATTAAAATTTATATTGTAAGAGTACTACTAAGATTCTTAGTGTTCCATTTATTCTTAATCAAAGCTATCCTATAATACTTCTCAACTATTATAACTAGCTAAAATCAATTCAACAACCTTTGAAATACCGGAATTCTGTCTAACTAGGCTTCGTCGTATTTGATTAAATTAATAAAATATTAATTATAAAATTAAATCTTACTAAAAAGTATAACTACTAGAAAAGTCTATACAGTCTATCAAAAAAAAAATATAGAGCTTACTAGTATAAATATTTTTTTATTTAGTTTTCTTTCTCTGGCATAGACTACAGAATAATTATTATTTTAGGATGAAAAAAGTAATTATAGAGTGGAGTGTTAACTTTATACATATTCTATACTACCACTTGAATAACAGCCTCACTCGGTGTATCGTCGATGAGATGATAGTTAAGAGTTTCAATTACTTCAAAATATTTGTTTTAGTACAGCCTGCGTTTATATTCGTTTTCGGTAGGTATATTCTCTGGACAATCGTGTGAAATAAAAGGTAAACAAAAGGATAAGCCTTCGCTATAACGCGCTCAAGATTATTCATTGAAATTGTTTTAGAATTGTTTGCATGATTCTGCAGTGTCAATTTATAATTCTATAATATTATGGAAACATGGGAAATACGTGTAAGGAGATCGTTGCTCTTATAACAACCTAACACTCAAGTACAGAAAATGAATATCTATTGCTAAAATGTGGTTTCAGAACTTGAGGAAATATATTATAATATAACAATACACAAATTAGTAGATTTTACACTGAAGACCAAAACTATGAACCATAAAAAATTGACAGTTAACCTATTTTTTTTAAATTTTAGATTAATGGCAATTTTGTAGTGAAATGGAATTGACAATTAAATTCTTTACAAAAAAAAAAACAATTTTACTAATATAACCTACTCAAATGTTATTTTCGGTTATAGGTTCAAATATTATTCTATTACGTAAAAAAAATATTAAAATTATAAATCTTACTTGATTTTAGAAAATAATTCAAGAAAGCTACATTTACTAAGTATTTTTGGAATTTGAAAATTGTTTTTATTTTGAATGTGGTAAACCACAAGTACTCATTAAAATTAATTTCATTAAAAAAAATTGTATTTTAATTTTTACCTATACTAAAATTATATTATGTAAATAATTCAAAAATTAATCTATAGCGTTATTATCAATCAGTTATAATTAAAAAAAATATCAATACATATCGTTTCAAACTCTTAATATGACTCCTGTAAAATAAACCTGTTTGGCTTAAAATATTTAAAACTTATTTAAAAAAACCGAAATGCGGAAAATGTTGAGTCGTTTGCACTCCAGGGTCTATTATGAATCAATATTTTTATAAAAGAAAATGGTTAACAATTATATACCTGAGTGGATATACAATAGAGAGATAAGGTTTTTTTGTATTTAGCGTTTTTGCTCATATAATTGTGTAAAAAAAAATTCAAACATTTATTGTTGTTTTTCTGAAATTATGGTAATGATATTAAAAAAAAGTCGGGTTGTTTTTGTGAGAAATATCGAAACATACGTTTTCGTGTTATAGTTTCACTGTTCTATCTTAATCATACCACTAAAAATTCAAGAAAACAATTGTAAAGCTTGTGATGGACTGATTAAAATACTGTATAGTTTAAAATATGTTATTAAAATGTGCACGAGACGTACCTAATAAGTGTTGGCCATTATACACATTTTTTTTTAAATACTATAATTAAACCTACAAGTTTTAGTTTAGCTTCATGTTTATATGACTACAAATCAGCTAATTTTCATTCAAACAATTCAAAATATATTAATTAATCATGCCCACCGATGACTTGTGTACGGTCAATAGCAGACGGATTATGATATCTATATGTTTTGACCCAATGCCACAATAGTAACGGTTTGTGACGTCAATGCCCGAGTTTGTCTCGAGTCTGAGCTCCCCCGTTGCATGCACTTAAATATAATATGCATTGTTGTAGTAGAATGCATTACTGCTCTGCCTAAGGGAGTGGAAAACAACGATTAACATAAGCTATTTCGTCAAAAGCCTTATACGTGCCCAACAATTTAACCCAATCGAAAGAGTACAATACCGTGTACATTTGAAAGTGTAATTGTTAGCGCACTAAACAATGGAAACTTTACATTAAGTCGGTAGTCCTTATAAACGCGAGAAGTGCATACATTTGTATTGCCTGTGTATAACGATTATGATCTTCAACTAGAACGAAAAATATATTTTCCTGAACTATGTATAACGGCAAAAAACATTCATCAAGAACTATTGTATGATGGAAAAAATATCTCTCTCTAGAAAATGCGTTTATTCGAATCTGGAACTAGTTCAAATTATTAACCATATTGTTAGAAATTTAACGAGAAAAAACATGCAAACTATAATAAAATTAGACATTTTAATTTAAAATATTTCATTTAAAATCTTGTGTATTTTTTTTAGGATGTTCATTTTGACCAGATTAATTTACTGGTTTTTATGTTGTTTAACATTGATAAAAAGTAATTACTCCTCTACTGCAACAGAATCAATACTCAAGTAAGTATAACAAACTAAAAACTTCTAACATTAAACGTTTATTCAGGATGTGTGTACATTTGTCGATTTTCGTTACAAGTAATTTGTGTCCAAAAGTATTCAAGGTAGTTATCAACGAAATATGTCAAAACATATGGGACCTATTTAACTTATACTTTTGAAATTTAGTAGTTTACTTAAGTCAAAAAATTGATATTTTAAAAAACCGTATTTTATTTAAAGAGTCCATCGTTTTCCAAATAGCAGACCTAATGTCTGCGATTAGTCGTTTTTATTATTAAATTATACTTTTTTCAACAATAATCATAATTTCATTACAAATCATGTACCTAAAAAATTCAATGCCACTCACGAAAATTATATGTTACATTTTACTGCATTTACATGATTTATAAAAACCAAGGAAACATTTTACATTAATTGTATTTAAATCTACATAATTTTTAAAACATGTTTAACAGACTCGAAGACAAAAAATCAGATAAAGAAATATTAGACTTTTTGCTTGACGAAGAAAAATATGACAAGAGATCTTTACCACCAACAAAACGTAAATTGCATTATAAATTAAAATTATAATTTATATTAAAAAAAAATTAGTTCAACAATTATTATTAACTGGTTCGCCATAAGAGTTCAATGTGGTAAAAAATATTTTCATTAAAACAGTTAACATTTTCACATTTAACATAAATGACAATTTCTATCTTTACAACTTAACAAAATCTCAATAAAAACTATCACCATTAGGTATAATTTAAATAATTTGCACAAATAGTCATAAGAATATTTTAAAATAATATGTTGTTCCAGGACCTTCTATAATCAATAATAGTTTAATATTGTTCATGGTAAGTTCGCCGGACGAGACAAGCCTGGTAATTAATTAATTTGTAATATTATAAGCATAAAATAGATACACAAAATTATTTAACTTCCAAATTGTCTATCAACTATTACAAGAAAATATACAATGCCTGTTAAATTTGTAAACCAAAGGAGCAAATATAATTGTATTTTTCGTCCAGCCATTATTTAAATAACACGGTTCAAAGAAAACTTAAGTTAAAAAAAGAAACTACTACTTAAAATTTAGCTGGCTCTTTAGCTTGCACAAGAATGGTTAACTAAAAAAACTAAAAAAGTTGTATAAAAATGTATTACCTTATAAAAATCTTTCTAACGATGATTCCAATTAGTTTGACTTCAATTTTCAAAAAACTCTATAAAATAAAACATAATTATTACATTTTCAACAAACTTTCTTGGCCAATATTCATTTAAAGTTAAAATAAGCAACATACCATACATCACAAAAGTTTATGTCTGAAAATTGATTACTCCAAGACTTCTCTTTCAGTGGATTTTCTGTTTTAAACTACAATTAATAATAAACCCAATTTTACTCGTCAGCAAAGTGAAATGACAAATATTTCTAGCTCAGCCCATTTTAATTTTGATACCCTCCTTAGCTCTGGCCCTGATTGCAGTTATTATATTTACTGATATACCTCATTTTTGGTAAAAAAAAAAAAAAAATACATACATATATAAGCTCTTTTAAACCCTAGCTACAGGATATATAGTATAATAATTTAGTGTTTATCTGCATAAATAGAAATATGAAGTTGAGTTCCTGCTTCAACAAGAGTGGTACGACTCGCGATTACAACACAGTAATACAAAGTATGATTTTCTTAACGGTTACTATCATCAGGGCGATATTTGGCTGCCAGACATCAACTTCCACATGCACGGTGACTTCAAACCATCTCAAAGGCCAATTCGTTATACTTTGCGCATTTTCAAAGACGGAAGAGTCGAATACGCTACAAGGTTAAAATTTTATTTATAATTCATTTGTATGTATTATATTGTGTTTATCTCATTTCCTTTTTTGCATTACTTATACTGTGGTTATGCCGATACGTTCTCATGTTAATATTACTTAGTAGGTACACCAATAGCGATATAGCTTCTGAATGCACTAAAAAGGACTGAAACCTACATTTGTTTGCAGGCATCACTTGGTAATAAACTGCGAAGGCCGTATGAACGTTTTTCCTTTCGACAATCCTATGTGTACTTTTTCATTGGAAAGCAGTAAGTGACACGTTTCATAAATATAAATGCTGTCAAATCATTAACAAATTAGCGTTTTTTATTATTAATTTTAAAAAAATAGTATTTTAATTTTAAACATACAACAACAATCTAAAAAGGCACAGAAACGACCTAATGATATTTTATGTACATCGTAGTTAGCATGTTGCACTCGTATAAAACACTATGGTTAAAAAAAAAGTTTCATATATTTTAATTAAAAAATCAGCGTTTTTCGTTGCTATTTAAATCACGTTTCAGCGTTTGGAGATTATGTTTATAATTCACATTTTTCTAAAAACAAACGTTTTTATCCGGCCAAGCGCGTAAAGTTAATACCTTAGATTTGAACGATTTCCATCTGTTTAGTATCCTATGAAAACTCGGATGTGAAATACTCGTGGAAGAATAATGGGAAAACCCTAAGCAAATATCGCTACATGAAAACTGTTAATGCCAACTTGGAACGGAACAAAACATTTGAATGTGCTTCGGTGGAAAGATGGAGAGGTTATATTTTATTCTATCATATTTGTTATCATAATAACTATTCGAACAAAAAGCTATTATTTATATCACACTGATAGGTACGACTATATCCAAATGGGTACACCTGTATTGGTTCCACTATCATTGGTATCGTCTTATTAATAAAATATAATACCAATACCAGACTATATTGATTATGTTTTAGGCAACTTCAGCTGTCTTCAAGTGGATTTAATCTTCAGCAGGGACAGAACGTTCTATTTCGCCACAATATTTATACCTAGTTTTATTCTCGTGACGTCATCGTTCGTCACGTTCTTTCTCGATTGGAACGCCATGCCAGCCAGGACCATCATAGGTCAGTGTATCTAACATCCTAACCTAAGCTAACATTCAAAGTAAATTATTTTCAAAATCGCATAGGTCTTACATACATGTAAGACCTATGAGAGACCTCTAAAGAGTAATATTATACTATCTTATGCACTCTCAAAAAAAATAACAATTAATAATTTTTTAATTAATAACTAAACATTATTTATCAGCCCTTAATAATAAAACCACTCTGTTCGTATGAAAAAAATACTGTCAATTCGATAAAAGCAATTATTACTTTGATATAAATGTATTAAATTGATAAACAAACAACAATACATTTTAAAACTGTTTTGTTTTTGATACAATGTACTTTTCGATTGCTGCGATAAAATTTTTGTTATAACAACAATGTTTTTATCAAAAAATTATTGGTTGCATACTTACAAACGTTGCATTATTATGCTGATAAAACATTTATGGGGTTATAATCATTACAGTATTTACCAAATTAATCTACATTTTTATGGACATAACTTTATTTTTCGTTGAGTGATGGTTTCCATAGGTGTAACGTCCATATTGAACTACTTCACTACATGCAACAGCTTCCGTCGAACTCTGCCTGACGTGGGAAACTTGACTGCCATGAACGTTTGGGACGGCGTATGCATGTGTTTTGTGTACATAAGCTTTTTGGAATTTATTGTTGTCAACGTGGTCGCAAGAAGAAAAACATTGTCCAAAACAAACAGCCGTAAGATAAGCGATAACAACAAAGTATCACAAGTGAGTTCAAAGCTTTAGAATATTATTAACAAAAATAGGCTGGACCTATGAAAAATGAGTAGTTTGTAAAATAATAATTTTAGCCAATTAGTCCTGATTTACCATCGAAAAAAATAAGCTACGATTTTTTAGAACTCAATGGAAGTGCGAAGAAGAATGGTCAAGAACTAAAAATAGTAAACGTGGCAGTATTTTATGCACAATTTTTTTTTCTCGACAAACCTTTTTCGAGTTGTGTGTGATAACCTATTGTGCACTTGAGCCGTTGGCTCTGTTTATCGGCACTTTATTATGTCAAAAGAATACGGGTTGCAGCATTATATAGCTGAAGGTACCTAAGCGATAAAGTGTATACACGCGAAAGGTCTGTGAAAAACCATAACGAGGAATTTTATAAAAACTTGGCACGTATACACAACGTCAAGTCGTCGGGTAGTTAGCGCGCATGCGATGAGTACGGTCACTAGGTATATATTATTCTTATAATTCTTTTAAGGGCATCGAAGGCATTTTTTTTCTTAATATTAGGTATTAATATACCGTGCACGGCACAAGTTATAAAAAAAAATGTCAAGGCCACAAGCTAAAGCCATTGACCATTAGTCAAATTATCGTTCTCTAAAATAAAGGTATAATTACTGATCATTGTTCATTTTAAAATAACACATCCCTTCAAACGTCAGACTATGGCCATATTAGTATGCTGCTCTGGCAATAGCTATAATTTTGTGTAGGTTTCAAGTATAAGGTATATTGTTACCTACATTTAGACAAATATTATTGTTATAGTAATAAAAAATAATGTACTAATTATCCGGTCGGTTTTGGCCAAAAATGTTTCTTTCAAAATTTAATATTTAGAAACCAATATTTTACTTGCCTATAATTGTTAAAACACATTTCTTTTATTCAAATAATTCAAATAATTCAAAAGTGTAATATTTTATCAGAGTAGACAATATGTCAATTTTGTTAATTATTTTATATGTATCCGATCTGACTTTAACCCAGCCCTTGTTTTTCTCTTGCATTAAACTTTATTTCTCTGGTCACTTTTTACTCCCGTCACTATAACCATTTTTTCCTTATAAGCTCAACAGTCTTAATTAGTGTTTTTATTCTCATCGCATTATATCCTTTTACATTTTCATTTTTCTTGTTATCAGCTTTAAGTTATCTTTGTTTTTTATACTTTTTGATCGACTTACTATTATCATTGTAAATAGTCGCCATTGTTAATAATACATTTTTAGAGATGCATAATTGAAAAATCATGCCTATAACTGTTAATAATAATATTGGGAAGATTTAAATTAATATAAATGTGGTTTAGCTATCCTAAACTTAAAATACCTCCCTCGCAAAGTATCAACAATTTAAAATAGTAAATAGAATAGTAAATACTACTGAAATGTTAAATATAATAGATGCATTTCTCATTCATCTCCGCTCCAAAGATTTATGACGTAAAATGATATATTATTATAATCTGACCTTTCTTACACGATGTTAAATATAGGCTACCTCGTAAACTATAAATTAATTAATAAGATTAAATTACCTACACCTTCTGAAATTAGCATTATTGTAAGGCTTACCTTCTAGGTGCGGCCTATGACAAACGTTTGGAACGGTATTCATTAAACGAAACAATTTCGTATATATAGCACTTTTATGTTAATAGGTACGTAAACCCTCTTTTAGAGACGCACATAACAACATCAAAACGTTTTAGTAGTTCTATATAAATATATATTATACCCACAAGTAAGACACGGCGAAATTCCCTGATGAAAGTAACCATATTAATAAAAATGTAATGTTATGTTTAAAAAAAAATTACAATATCCATCCCACCTTTTATCTTGGTTTCCATTTCTGAATGAGCTCGTGAATTACACTATTAAAATAAAATAGTACTTTCGCTAAGGTTTTTTGAAAAGTTTATTGCCCATGTATTATACATTACCTTCTTACGGCTAGCAATCTCATACTAAACATATACGTTTGACTTAGACTAGCCGTTGAATTCGGAAAATATTCATCGTAAAACGCAATGAGTTGTATAATGTATACAGCGTGAACAAAATGTACAGACATTTTTTTTTTATAATAAATACAATTATTTTATTAATAGGTACCAGGAATTTGTTGAAATTAATATAAATGAATATTATTGAAAAACTGCTCGTGAACCTTTCAATAAAAGAAATGAGGATAAAGACACTAAACCCTTTCCACAGTAAATGTTCCGACCACTAATGACACACGTGTATTTAACAATGGTATACGAACATTTTTTCTCTTAAGTAATTTTTTGAATACGTATATCTAATACAACTTAAAATGTGTATATATATTTGCACTTAATTGCTTTTTTTAAATGTTCTTTTTTACAACATTGGTTCTATACAAACTACTTACACACCATCTTGTGGTTTTTTTCCTAACGAATGGAGTTGTGAAAAGAGGAACACAATCCACTGTTTAGGAATAACGTCGTCGACTGCATGAAAAGAACTTCATAATATAACACCATTACCAATATTATAATTTATAATATTATCTACTTTTAAATCTTACAAGTGTATATAGATAGGCAACCAAATAATCCCCATTAACTGTTTGGTAGTATATACGAAATATTATGCTATCAATATTATTTTTTTAATATTCAATCAAATATATTATATTCCAATGAAAAAACCCAGCAAAACTATTATATTAAGTTACAACTAACAGTAAAAAGGTATAACACAATAGTTTTTATTGGTTTCCCAATATGGGGCATTCAAATGTAATTAGTAGTAAAATTGTACTTAAGTGTCTTGACCTTTAGTTCAACATTTTGTAAAATATTGTGCTTTATTCGATCAAACAAAAATGAATTTCTACAATGACGTAGTACGTTTAGTAATAACTTACTTTAGTTCAAGGAAATTAAAAATGATCGTCGTGAGAATTTATTCTGTTTAAACATTTTACATTTTAAGTACAATGATTTATTTAGAATTTTGGTCCTCAACGTGTAAGTATGTTATCTTATGTGAAGTGATCACATGACTTTTTGATTAAATACAACCGACTTGTACGTGCGACCATTGAATATAAAGAACAAATGTACTACGATAAAGTACTAGACATGAAGTGTTCATGTGTGGTATGTCCATGTGTACAGTGTACTTAAGTCGCCATATTGAATTGCCTGACTCGACAGAAAATGTTTATTTGTTTAAAAAAACGCGCAACCCTAAAGTAAGTTGAGTAGGTTTACTCAATTGGCACAGTTATTATTTTTCAAGAGAGAAAATTGTACACTGAAAAAATAATATATATATTTATGTATTGTAATAGAAAAATATGGTTAACACGATAGTATTTGCTATTCTAATAAATACAATTTATGAACTTAACTCTACTTATACTAAACAAAAACTAAAAAGTTAACGAAATCGTTTAAACAATGTGTAATTTATAAAGCATGTAGATAACTAATCGAGTTTAAGTTAGGTAAATGTTTTGTTATAAAATAATATTATGCCTCATGACCAGAGTTAAACGTAGTACGAATACATTGTTATCTAGGTAAAGAGGTGAATAAAATAAATGTTTTATTTTATCATTTGTAATTCGCTCATTAAGTGAAAACTATTTGTTTTTCGTTATGTATTATTTTTCAATGTAATTTATGTATTTGTTTGTGAGAGTAAACAATAATGAACAATTTTGAAATTATACCTAAGATAAAAACAAGAACTCCCACAGCGGTAGTCACCGTTCTCTTGTTGCGACCTAACACAATTATAAAAAAACATATAATATTAACCCACACGATTATTATTAATTCAGAATTTATTTTAAACAACTAATCTATTTTTATCTATAAATATTAAGTAATAAATAAAATAATTAACTTTTAGTTGTTAAGTTCCAAATAATGACATTTACGAAAAAATAGTTATCTATTATACTATAACTACTTATTATACTAATTCAATTTTGCTCAATTCTGCTCATGACTGCTTTCACTTTTTCAGAATAAGGAAAAATGGAGTTGTACAAATTCGCTTCTTGACAATATTACATCAAATAAGGTAAGCAGTAAACAGTAAGCTCACAAGCAGTTATTGTAGGAATATAGTACGCTTTTCTTGAAAGTTGAATGTTGTTTATTTTTTTGAACTTGTGTTTACTTTTAAGTTAATGAATAGGTGTGCCTAATTTACTTAATTAAGGTAAGTTAAAAATAATGTTGAGGCACATCAGGTGTAGGTACCATTTAATGTTTTTATTAATTTAAAGCCAATACTCAATAGTCTGGTAACTGATCGATCATACATAATACATAATGTAATACAAATTTCAAACTTCGTGATTAATATAAAATAAAAATGCCATTACAATGGGGTCAGGGCATAATGGGGACGGGAGGTCACAGGTTTACATGAATCATTATTAATAAAAGTGATAAAATCCCCCCTAGGGGGGAATGTGTATAATTTGAGACTATTGACGTATAGAAGCATATCAAATAAATATTCCTTATGAATCCCATCTCCCCTACAATCTTATTAATGAATCAACCAGCAAACTGGTTAGCGTGGATAGTGGCAAATGATAGTGATTTTTCCTGCCACAATTAAATAATATTAAATATAATATTTTTATACTATAATGTTTATAATATTATAAGCCGACCTCAAATAATTGGGCTTAGTCTTAATGGACCGCGGGCGATAAGATTCGTGATAAATTTCTTGTTAATCCCGAATGGTCAACATAAAACTTATTATGAATCGTATATCTTATATATATATATTATCGTATTTTAATTATGCAAAATTTTTTATCTTGCTATGAATAAATTAAAAATATATTAATGGTTTTCAGTACAAAAAAGGCAAAAAACCTTCGCGGAACCCAGTTGGCATAGCTAATGCGATCGACAAGATAGCTCAGATCATATTTCCTTTTAGCTTCGGGATATTTCTTCTGATTTTTTTTGTGTATTATGTTAAATAGAATAATATATTATATTAAAATCACAATTATTTAAATTTGATTGTGTGTTTTTGTTTGTAATAATATAATAATGGCTGAAAAAGTATACATATGATTGATTGACATAATTTAAAAATGGGTACATTAAAAAATGTACTCATTGTCGGCTCAAAACAATTTTAAATTAAGTTTTCTGGTTTAAATGAATATTAGTTTAATTTTATTTTAGCACACAAACAGCGAATAACGCGAATCTGTTTAGGAGCATAAACAGTCAAAAACATATGGGTGGATTTTTAATTGTTTAGTTACTTTGGGTTCGTTTGCATAATACTTAGTATAAGTTAATAAAATAATAAGTATTTGATTAACACCAATGATGCTGTTGGTACACACAATATCAGTTATATTTAAACAGAAGATTAACGATTATTTAGGATTAATTAACTATTATGAATATGGGTTAAAATATTATTCTGAGGTTTAAATGTGTATACATTGGCAGTGCACTCTAAAATAATAATCGGAAGAAACAAGTATTTCCAATATTCAATTAACTGGTTTTTTTTTTGTCAATAAAATATACCACACATTCTGTATTTAAAAAATCACTAAATTATTAAAACTATAATATTTAATAACAGGATGATCCATCTGATGTAAGACACTTATTTTCTTAGAAAACATGATTACTTTGAAAGTATTGTTTTTATTTGGATTATGCGGATGTATTCAGTTGACTGCAATATTATAGGTTGTGAGATTGACTTGTGTAAGTAGACATTCGCATTTTAAATCACTATTTGTAAAATGAATTTTCCACGTTGACCTCTTATATGTGTAGCGGGCACGTGAGTCACGTGTTGGCTGTCGCCGACATGGCTTAATTAGAGATTGGTTAGTTAGCTAATGGTGTATTAGATTAATATGTAGATATTATTATTTTTTAAATTCTAGAATATATTTTATATACACACATATGTATACAACATTATATTATTTAGTTGCACACAAATTATACTTTTGGCAACCTAAATTCTACGAACGATGTTGTACCATACTAGCGCATGCAGGTTTATTATACTATTCATTTTTCGCATACACTGTATAATATTTAAACTTGTAGGAACGTATGTTTAGTTGCTAAGTAAAACATTAGCCCTAAACTTGTACTTGTTTACGAGTACTTAGTGTTACACTGTGGGATGAAGTGGCCGAGAGGACAAAGGCGGCGATTCCATGTTAATCGAGGATAAGTATAAATAATACACAACTTGAGCTTAACATATTTTTGTTCAACCTCTATCGTTTGATTATTAGTTAAAAAAATATCGACGACTTGATTTTGATCAAATATATACATACATATTTATTAAAATTAATTAAAATATGTATAATTATGTTAGTATAACATAGACATGTTTATGCAAGCTTCCGAGTGAAGAAACTTGAGCTGTTGTCATATCGGAAAAACATATTATCTATACTTTAATGCTATTCTAACCTCGGTGATCCGAAAATAAGCCGTTAACGGTAGCTATTATTAATAGGATAAACGGAATAATATTATTACTATGAAGATCCAAATGCACAAAATTGGCCAATAAAATTATTTTATCACCTACTTTATTACCTTCCTCACATTAATAGAAATGATCATTGTACGATAGTAGTTGATGTATTGGTGCGCGACGTGTAAAGCCAAATAAATGAAATTACAATATATATATATATATATATATGTATTATAATTTTTTTTATCAGGATGTAAACACGGAAACGCCACAGGGATTTTCCCTTCCAAGTCTCTATACAATAAAATATAATACAAAATTATGGGTTTACTCTATAAAGAAAGTCTAGAACTAAATCCACGCATTTTAATGGAAAAAAATTGTCAACGGCTATATTATTTTTTTACCAAGAGTGCTCTCATCGACTGAAATAACACAAGCAAAATAAAATAATTTATCATATAGATTGTTTTCTGTAAAGTACAGACTATACTACTCATAAAAGAAAACAACGTCAGTTTGATTTCGGTTCTTAAATGGTTTTCTGTTGTATTTTATTAATAATACTTTTACATAGGAGTTCTTAAATCTGCAGTTCCGACCATCGTTTTTTCTCAACAATTTAACCTGTAAATAAAATTACTATTATTAAATAATGTTTAATAATACAATATAATTGAAAGAAGTAAAACTACTTACTTCTTCAAACGCACGCTTCCGACAATGCGTTAAGTACCATAGCTAGAGTGGTCTTATACAACGACAACAGCTGCGGCTGACCTTCGCCAATTGCATCGGTTACCAGACCAATTAAGATATCTCCGAGATTCTTAAATAATAACATTACAAGACATAGTAAATGCATGTTTTCGAATGATGTTCAGTATATTAAAATATATTTATTGATTCAACTAGATAAAACGTTATTCAAATAATGTCCAACTCTGCCTAAATACAATAGATATTAAGTATTAGTATATTTTGAGGCCAGTTCAATTGTCGAATAATCATTAAAGAATTAAACTAGCCTCAAAACAAAATTAAGAAATTAACACTAAAAATCTTAAATAAAAAAGAGACGTAATGCAATACGTATGACTGCCAAATATTTAACAAAAACAAATAATCTAAAACTAGTTATTAATGATATATTTTTGTACGGGTATAAAATCATATTAGTGTATTTTGTTAGTATAATACTATGAACACTAGTGTGGACACGTATTTCAGTATTACAAAAAACACTTATAAAAAACCTTGTATAGTATTGACATGCCATTAAGGATAAAATTATAATATAACTCCTACAGCAACAAATTTTGTTCAACAGGTTAACGCTGGACACAATATTTTTGTTTTGAAGAGGAAATTATTACAAAAGCCAAAGAGTTGTTTGCATAATCATATGTAAGGTTTTAGGGGGTTTTTTTCGATACAAAAATCAATTTTTACAAATATTTTTATTTACATAAGTACAAACTAGATATATCATATGTTCAACTTTTTTGTGCACTAAGTTTAAGAACTATATCCATAAAAACAAAATAAAAATAAAGTTTCCTTATCTATTTATTGTCCCCAAATAAATTCAGAATAAATTCGACTGTTTTTTTTAGAAATTTGTAGCGTGCCACATTATTAACATTTGAAAAGCATATTGACACTGTAGACAATGTTTAGGCTGCTTTTTTCTCAAATTTAATGGAAAAGAGGGAAACTTATGATTTTTTTGGTCTTTTCAATTGGTCTATAATAAAAATAAAAATATCTAAACATTAAGGTTTATCTTTTTTTTAAAAAACCTCCAAAGTTTAAACATTACTCATGTAAACATTCTACATTAATTCTCAAATTCTCAAATCAGCGGAAAAAAATTTAAAAAAAAAAAACTCTTATTTGAAATACTAAAATTTTGAAAATTACTCAAGCGTTCAAAACACGTTAAAAATATCCCAAAAACTATATGTTTTCAGTTTTGTCGAAAGCGATTTAAAAAAATTACTAGACATGCTCAAAATGGAGAGCAGATTTGGATCAAGTAAATAAAACTAAACCTATTTTAGTTGTTGTCCCAAATTTTCCTAGTCATTAAAGAAGTCGTACATAAAATAGCACTATACCCTCGTATCTAAAACAACAACATCTCAGCTTATTTTATATTTTACCTACAAATAATGTTGTTGTCATCAACGACACAATACAATACAGCCTTACCTACATACATTTCCATATAATATCATGTTACTCATAAGTTTTCTGATGGAATCAACAAGGTTAACGACCTAGGCCTATTAGGTTTACGCCATACGTAATAGGACACTTCCCAAAATATTACTATAATAATTAGAGGCTTTTATGAAAAAACAACTCAAAAAATTCGACCAAATAACTACTAAAACTCCATTTTGGTTTTACTTAACAGAAATTTGGCATATTATTTCTATTTAAAACTGCTCAATATTATACACGAGACAACCTGTATAAAAGTAGTGCTTCCATAGACGCGTCAGAAAGGCACTTACTTCGATTAAAATACTAATAAATAATTACTAATAGATCCGTTCCTTGTGGTAATGAAAAAGACACTCGACTAGGTTGACAAAACATTTTACAAATTAGACCTTTTATTGAAATTTTACTCATAAGACTTTTGGAACATTGCTCCCCGCCACATAATAAAAATAATTTAAAATGTCATCATTTTACTATAGAGTTAATAATAATACAATATATATATATGCATATGAGGTAAAAATACATTTACCGTGTTGAGGTTTAGTGGGAGCGTTATAATAACACAAGTCTCTATATGGTTTGGTGCCAACTTAATCATAAGATATTTTTTTAAACAACAAGAGAGCAATTCGTCTTTGTTTCATCCCATTTAGAGGACAGGAAAATATTATGCATGAACACAGCGATGGGGCTTAGAGTTTAGTATAATATGACGTTCTACGGTCTGAATGAAAAAAAAATAAGGTCACGACCCAAGTCCCGGGGGCATCATATATCTGTATAAAAGCACTATAGACATATTTTTACTGCAAAATAATATGATATGAGAGCATACAATTTGCTAAGGTCAAAATAATTTTTGTTCACCAATTAGTGTAAAAACAAATGTGTTACATAAATATTCACCTATTTAGAAAATAAGTAAATCAAATTTTAAATTTAAACCTATCCCCTTTTGCTAACACCACATGGCTTAAAAATAAAAGTTAAATTTTAATACACTTTCAGACTATTTTTTAAAATGTTCTATTATTATAATAATAAAAAAAAGAGGTTCTGTGTTTCTGTATGTCTATGTTAATGTTACCTGAATGTGTTCGGGAGTCACTCCATATTTCTTGTGCTTGGCGCCGAGTTTGAACAGGACAGATTTGAGTTCATCAGGTTTGTCCAGAAGATCTACGACGGCTCTTAATGCCGAACCCACTAATTCTGCATGTAGTTGAAATTCAGGACTAGTCGCCAACTTTTCGTATGACACGTCGGAAAGTTTTTTGAACAAGGAAAGATATTCACGATGAGTTTTGAACAACCTAAATCATCGATTAAACCGTTACAAAATGTACTACTACATATATTGGACCCATTATGTATTATATATTGTAGTTGTATTATTGGATATATAATAATAGGATAGTAATTTTTTATTGACTTCGTGCAACTTGCAAGATCCCTGCAAATAAGTTTTAAATGATTATTATTATCTGAATCTATTCTTCACCCTGTTTTGCTTTGAAAGTTTTTTTTAGTATTACACAAAACTTTACCTGCCTTCTCTCAATCCAAATCGATTTTCATGCAAGAATACTAATAGGCTTGAAAATGTATTCATTACAATTTTAAAGTCAGAAGTAAATACATATATAGATGTTTTTTTTCTCTTCGAAATTACTAAACAAATGAAAACTAAAAACGTTAAAGAGAGTTATTCCATTAAAAATATAAGTATGACATTTAAATATTTACTTATAAAGTTCGATATTATGCACTTTTCATTATAAAAAATATTAAAAAAAAAAAATTTTACCCATTTTAAAAAAATATTTAATTTATCATGAAAAAAGTAAAGGTTTTGTAATTAATATAAAAAGTATGTTTGACAGATTAAATCTGGCTTATTTGCAATTTTAACAATCGTTTTAACGTCAGGAAATACATTATAACAATGAGACAAAAAAAATTGGAAAAATTGTTTAGAATCAAACTAAGAAACATAATGATTTAAATAAAAATCCTAAAATATTAAAAAGTATTTTGAAAATACACATAAAATGTAAAAAAAAACTCGTTTGAAAACCAATTTGCCGGAATCTGACATCAAATAAATCATCTACAACTCCACTTAAAGGCCAGCCTAACTTAATTTTTAGTGAAAGTAAGATCGGTCTTTTCGGACCAATATATATTATCCATAAATTTTTATTTTGACATAATTACTCGAGTAACATCGTTTCGACTAGTTTGGACGGATCTGGGATGACGATGGGAAACGTCCTTTGAAATTCGGAAATTTGTTCGTTGGTCAACTCCATGGCGAATTTGCAGACGACCGGCTAGAAAGTATATTATTAAATGATACCGACAAACAACAAAACGGTTACAGAGACTATGTACAATATTTACTGCATAAGCGTTGTTGTTTTTTTTTTTTATACAAACTGTTCGTTTGTACACACGGTCAAAATCTTGCGTTACGTCACGTGTTTAAAAAGACTAGTAACCAGTATTTATTATTTTTTTTTAATAAAAAATATTAATATAGGCACGTACCGTTTCTTGTGAGTCCGAAAATCAAATGTATAAACACCGTGTGTATTAGACGGCGGGACGATCAATATTTTTGAATTATGATTCCAAAAAAAAGTTTAAAAATTATAGCAATTTATATCACAGATATACACTTGAGAAGGCGTCGCGATCGCTACCGTCACTACTTTATTACTATGATTATTACTATACTGCCGCTGCCACTGCTGATTAAAATGTTACATATATATATATATATATATATAAACGTACACGTATATGGCAAATAAAAATTACTAGACCAAGTCGACGACGACCGCATTAGAATGAACAGACTTCATTGGTAAGCGAGTGGTCGTAATTCGTACACATAAATTATAAGAAGGAGAGTAGTAGTAATAACTGTAACACATACATATTACACGCGTCCACATGAGGTCAGCCGAATTCCCATTAATAACAATAATCTCATTGGAAAAGAATCCGGCGTCAATTAAGTTCCATTAGGCACACAGGATTTCAATGCTAGGATGCTCGTACAATCTGATCACCACTAAAGCCAAGGGGAGTACAAATACCTAATTTACTTATACACTTATAAGTACCTAGTATACCCTACCAGCAGTGCTAAGCCGAGTTAGTTACATAAACAAATTAACTAAGTACAAAATTATTATTATTATTAGGTGTATCAAATTTAAATATGTAATTAAATTACAAGATAAGATACCAATAACGTAATTCATTTACTTTTATCCAACAATCGAAATTAATAGTAGATTTTTATTTTAGAAAAATTAAAGTTGTACACAGTACATTTAAATGTCATTAGTCAGAGATGCTGAGCCAAATAAGTTCTTAAAAAAAAATATTTATTTTTATATATATTTTAAACTTTTGTTTCCAAAACAAAAGTTGAATAATTTTTTTACCTAACTTTAAAGATAAAATAAAATAAAATTTTTAATTTAATAAATATGATTTAATTTAAAATTAAAATTTTAGCTGTACATTATCAGACGTGTAAAACAAATAGTTACACATATATAATTGTTAATTTGCAGCTATTTTAACTACTAAACTTTAATTATTTATAAATATCTTGAATAAAAAACATTAAATTAAATTAAGATATACTTAATATCAAAATAACTATTAAATTAAATTGTATGGGTTCTGCTACTGTTTCTTTTTGTTTAGTATAATTTTTTATGCCAGACAATACCAATCGTTTTCCACCGAATATTAAACACACAAAAGTTGGAAATCTGAAAAATTAAATTAATTTCCTATTAAACGCTATTATTAAAATAGATGCTCATCAAACTAAGTACAGTAAAAATAGTATTTACTTACTGCATGTTTGTAACAGATTTTATCAGTTTTTTTTGAAATATTTACTATCATATTTACCAGCCAACTTTGAATTTCCTGTAAAAATAAAAAAATAATATTGATTATTTTTGTTTTTAAAAATACATTTTATCATTTTTATAGTCATAGTACTATTATTCAATTATTGTAAAAATTAAACAATTCTGCTACTATCATAATATTATGTCCTATCATTTTTTTCTCTATTTTGCCTGGAAAATGCTTTGAATCTTTAAAATAGGTAGTGGTTAAAAACCGTTAGTTTATACTATTATCGATTAGTACAATTTAATAAATGTATAAGCTTGTTTTTTTTTTTATTATACAATTTGTACCTAATCACAATATTTTTACTAAATGTCTTTATTATACAAAAGTATTGTAAATATGGAAAAATTGAAAAAAAAACTATTAATTTTTCCTATTTTACAAAAAATTACCTCTTAACAAGTATTAAAACAAGTTTAAAAAAATGTTTGCTTTTAGTTATAATTGGTATAGGTACTTACTGTGATTGGCCATAAAATTAAAACTTGATTGCATATTAAAATTATTGATGTCGTGGGAAGCTGAATTGAATTCTGAGAATTCAGAACCCTATTTGGTAGTATTAAAGAGACAGTTAATATTATTATTTTTTTTTTGTAAACCATGTACAAGTTACACTTCTTCAACTTACACATAGACTACTGTTTCCACTGTAACACCCTGTTGGACCGTCACCTTCAAATTCGTTCCAGAAATCATCTAAACAAATGTTAAAATATATTAAAACTTCTTAAACCGTAGATAAACCATTAAAGAGCAATAATAATAATAATAATAATAACAGTACAAAACTTTTACAACAGTCACAAAAAAAATTACAATTATACTAAGAGTAGTGGTAGTAGCGGATTCAGGTGGGAGAACCAGTTTTTTTTAGCAACATCAAGCCCCAATACAATACGAGTATATGTGTGAGTTGCTTAAAATTATCTCCACTCGAGCCAAAAAAAAATTCCAGAATTTTAGTCTGTTTACTCCAACTACATCTTATGGATTGATGTTGGAAAAAAAAATTAGAATAATTAAGTATTCCAATTTTAGACCAATATATACTTATATATATTTGATTCTTATAATAAAAAATAGCAGCTAACTGATTAAACTATTACTGTTAATAATATAATGAAATGCTACTAACTGGTCAGCAGGTTAATTTGACTTTGAGTCTCGCTGTTATCGAGTTGAAACATAGAGTTTGAACTGTTACAAAAATTGTCAAATTGAGTCCATGGTATTGGAGAATTTGAGAGTGTAAAGTTGAATTGATTGGATTCATCAACATTCTGATTAGGCTGTAACCTTTTTGTGGCATCTGTGTTGTCGGGTAAGTCTGTTTGAATAGTTTGCTTCTGATTATTTAAAAACATACTTCCAAAATCTTTTTCCTAAAAAATTATTAGAAAAATAGAAAATGTATGAGTTCAGTTGTAGATTACATGTTGTGTTATAAATTTAAACGTAACGTTATAATATATATTCAGTAGTGTAGATGTAGGGTATATACTGTGAGTATCACTTTTACATGTACGCCTGTACTTTATCTGTAGTTTTTGATTATAAGTATACGCATACATAGAAAAGTGATAGATAAAGTCTATCTCATAACGTACACATAGAGTAAACCCTATGACTACATCAGTGTAAATAACATTAATATGAAATTGGGATCTTACCTCATAGTCTCTGTTTGGTTGTAAAATCTGTTCCGTTATTTTTGGTCCCTCGGTAAAAGAATATGATGAGTGTTTATTTTTATTGAAATTGTAATTATGTTCAATAGGATTATGAGGTTTTTTGAACTGAAAGGTCGAATCTTCAATTATTTTACGTTTTGAATTTTGAGTTTTGTTAGTATCCAATGACAGAGCTTCGGTTAAATCGCAAGTATCTGCTGGCAACATATTATTCTCTGACAGTTCATCAATTTGGTCAATACTGTCTACAGGAATATTTTGCGAGGTATATTCAGGCGACAGTTTTCGTTTGTCAGTTACATTTGAAACGGGGGATTTCTCTGGACTGGGAACGACGTCTTCTCTCTGTGAACTTTCACTATTCGACTCATCTTTATCATTTTCATGAATAGAAGAACTTTCTTCTTCGTTCACATCAAATCGACCAGAATTTGTATCAACAAATGATGAGTGATTACTGTTAGAAAACAAATCTGAACTACAAGTATCCATATCAATGAGCTCTGAATCAACTCCATTACTATCAATAGGCAAATTTAATGGTAGTTTAATGGTTCCCTGAAACACATTAAAACTGAGCTATAATAAATAAACAAAAAAGCCCAATTTGAATTAATCAATAAATAATTTTTACTATTTTCTGATCTTTGAAAGCCACGCCTTTTCCTTTTAACAGCTTGTGGTATTCTCTTTTAAGGTTCCTAAAAAACACAATAATTATTCTATTAAATAAATATTATATTATATACAGTTTTATTTTCCTAACTGTAAACAACTATATGATAATAATTAATTAATTAATTTTCTTAAGAAACCGATTCTGTATTATTATATAGTGCTTCAAAGCGAACCTTCGTAAAAGAATGCATTGTTTTTCTCTATCGTCCACCAATTTCATTTCAGTAACAGCTTTTACAAAATTTACTACAGTTCCAATATGTTTATTACCTGAAATAGTATTGAATATTTACATTATATGAAATAGAAAACATAAATACCTCACATACTACAACTTGCCTGAGCAAATTTAGGTATTAATTATACTTTTAAGATAAGTACCTCTTTTATAATAAAATTATTATAGTTTTGACTTTTTACAACTCACCACTAATATTGTCTATTTTGAATACTTCATTGTTCAACATTTCATTTTCAGTTACTAATTGATCATACATGAATTTCAACGCATCAACTTCATTATCCATTTTGTTTAAAGCGTCAATTTCAGGTATTTTATTTAATCGAACCTAAAAAATAATAACATAAAAGTACAATTTTTAAACAACCTTTTTTATTGCTTGTGTTTTTTTTGTCCTGTTTGTTAATTGTTACCTGGTCAATTTTCCACTGTTTCATTATGTCAAATAATTTGAATTCAAACTTGTTTGATATGTTACATGCAACAGAATTGTTTTTCTTAATTTGAATATCTAGATGAGCTAATGTCTCATAAAGAGTCATTGTGATTTTGTCAAGACTGAAAAATACAGGTAAGTATAATAGAAACCTCTTATTTCTATAAAAAAATGTCTGGATATAGATAATATTTTTTTATTTTTGAATAATAAATGATTTAAATAACTGGCTAGTATTATTATAAGTATTCAAAATACGTAGGTACTTAATACATACTTAAAATATTGTCCAAATAACAAAAGAAAAAGAAAAAATAATATTATAGCCTATCATATAATTTTTTTTTATCGCATAATTATTATGAAAACAACCTATTATTGATGATTGTCATCCATTAGTTTTATTAATCTTAAAATATTAATTAAATTTAACTGGATCATATGTAAAAATTGTTAATAATTTTTTAAGTACGTACCCACCATATCTATATAGCAATAAATTACAGTTATTTGTTGTTGTACTTACTACATAATATAATTTATAACTTCTAACATTTTAGAGTTTACATCATTTATTTGTTTTTCCAAATCGGTATTTTCTAAATTGGCTTCTTCAATAGACTTTTCAATGTTTTGAATAGATTCTTTTTTAACTAAATTGTTAATAAATAGTTTAGTCATACACATTATTACTAATAGTTTATAATTTACCAATGTTATATACAAATATTATGTTTACAAATGATCAACTCACTACGGACACATTCTTCTGCTCTCCAAATGTCCATGTTTATTTCACTTACATCCTTAATTAATGTATCTAGTTCAGTTTTGATATTGTTGTTATCACTGATATTATTTTCATTCCCAGCCATCGTTTTCTAAAAACTTGGAAAAAAAATATATGAAGATGCTTTTTATAAAATATAGAAATGTACACAAATTTGTGATACCTACACATATGGTCTGATTCGATGCAAACTAAAAAATACTATCATTAAATAAAAATAGACATTATGAATAAACCGAACCAAAATAAGATAGTTGTGACTTGTGATCATACCGATTAATTTTGTTATAGTTTTCAATAGATTGATAAGATATGTGTACCTGGTGTTTTTTTTCAACAATTATTTAAATTAGTTGCTAATTATAACTGTTCCTAAAATTTACATTAGTTTTTTTTATTATATCATCAGGTAACATAACAAAAGCAATTAAAATATAAAACGTTTTTTAAATTTTGTTTAACAAATCATTTTTAAATATGTAATTCCAAACTATATATCATACAAATATTGCAATACCATTTCAAACTTTCCATTGCTATACAAATTATATTATAAATAAAAAAAATACTATCAAAATCAAAGCATTAATTTAATTTATATTTTATTAAACTATATTATTTTTACAAGCTGACTAGACAAGTAATAATGTATTTTTACAACAGTTAGGTATTATAATAGCTATCACCAACTTTAATCTAAATCACAAAAATTAAATATTTTTATTAGAGGTAAGTAGGTTAAAAATTGTTTAAAAAACTACCTATGAAGTACCTAATTAAAATTAAGATAATAAGCATAATAAAGAATGTTTTTAAGGACTATAAGGTGATTTTATTTATAACCAATCAATACATATTCAATTTAATAAGTGTTATAACATTTGGTGACTTCAGACACTTCAGAGTAAATATTTTTAAAATAGTAACAAATTAATATTTAGCGTATTGTCCGAATCACACTATTTTACATTCTTAATTTATAATAATACATAGAGTACCTCAACATAGAGGTAGGTATTTAGATAAGATTATAAGGTAGGTATATAAAATTATTAATGTATACATTTTGCACGTTTTATATAATAATGTTAAAAACTACTTGCTACATAGAGTAGGTACTTACTAAATATCATGAAAATAATTTCTAAGTATAAATACCTACAATATCGGGGTATTGGCTAATATTATCGATATTATAATGGTTAGTACCTACTACCTAACATATATTATTACTAAAAACTTACCTATTTATGTTGTGACTTACACAAATAATCAATGATCAATGATATTAATTATCAATATGAACTGTATACTAGCAATGTTCGTCTCTGGAGATTGAAGAAAGCCTAATGTAAATAATATTCTATCGGTTAAAAGATTAAGAAAAATACCATTAGAAGGACAAAATGGTAGCTAGTGCTTAGTTGTTTCTCGTTCACGGTTCACGCTTTAAAGTTTTTACAAATTTCTATTTAGCTGAGAAATGTAATTATAATATTTTATAGTGTATACCAATACCACGTTTGTGTTAAAACTGCAATTTGTGTTCATGGTTCGACCACAGGTTGAAGTATTAAAATAAAAAGTTTATAACGTTATTAGTTGATAACAGCCTATATATTATCTATAAATAGAAAATACAAAATTAGTAATTATAGGATATCAATTGCCTAAAGAGGATAAAAATGTACTACATTTTTAACTCTTTACTAATTTTTGTCTAAAAAAAAGTATGATTTTTCACACGGTCTACAATTTTTGTATCACTAAAGGTTTAAGGTATGACACATGCGTCATGAGTAAACAAAAAATATTTTAACGAAGGTATTCGGTAAATCTTTGGCTTAAGAATTTAAATAGTATAAAAATATAATGCGCCATCTGTATTTGAAGTTTCATACTTGTGCATGGCGTTTTGTGAACGCACAGTTAACAACAAAGTAACTAGATAGCAGTACTTAAATGCGTTAGGGAATTTTTTTATTACAAAATTATTATATAGATAGTATACTAAGGAATTGTCAACGTTGCCAATACAAAATTAACATTATTTGTAATGTAACTACAATACTGTTCTAAACATTGACAGGTGTTACATTATTGTAACACTATACTAATATTGTTTTTGAAACAAACGTTTGTGTGGTTCTAAAAGGCATAACTTCTTTGAAATGTTTTTAATTTGAAAGTTCAAATTCGGACTATAAAAATATTATATTAGTTATGATTTTAATCAATATTTGGCATGATTATAATAAATATTAATGAAACTTTGTCCTGGTAAATGTTTTCAATCCCTCTACATAATTTATACACATATATTATGTATGATGTATTTACCTAGTATTAACAATTTGTGGAACTATGACTTGTTTTATTCAAAGCCACAATGACACTTATAATGTTATCGGTGACATAATGGCTAATGCTTATGATCGATCTTTGGAAGCTTATTTATAACTTAGTTATTTTGCTAATCTTATAAAGGTTATAGGATATACCTATTTATAAAATACAAATGGGACTAATGTAAATGCAATTTTTCTAATAAATTAACTGATAAAACTTTACAATAAAATTTGACTTTTTTTGAAACAAGCACTAAATTACATAATTTTTATTGTATATTTTTGCTGAATTATCTAAGCTGGACTCGAGATTTCACTAGCACGTCGACTTATGTTTAGCTTAGATGCTGAGAAGGTATTGATTTTACTATGTGTTCTTTTGTGCCTATAATAAACACGATAACTTTCTTCCTCTGGTATGATATCTCGCAGCACTTCTAAATAACCGAAATCGTATGCGATTGGTACTTTGGTGGATCAAAAGTCAATAATTGCAGAAATCAATTCCTCCACCCTCAAAACTGGTAAAACCCAAACAAAAATTTGACTTAACTCTTAAGTTGTGAAAAACATTGTTTTGTTTTTTTTAATACGCAAACTAAAAATATGAGGAGGCGATTTAAAAAACAAATAGAGAAAATCTGATGTCAGTTTCGGATGAAATTCTCCTCTACATTAACCGTAAGTATATGTTTTAAACCTCAACTATCAATTTGACGTGTTGAAAGAATGTTTTTAGTAATATTCTTATTAGTAAATACTTCAAAAATTAATTCAAAAGTTGGTAAGTAACCTTGACAGTAAGTGCCATACTACTATAGAATAGTATAGTAAGTATAATAATTATTACTATTCTTATATTAATTATATAAATAAAAATGATCTAACAATATGTGCTTAAGTGTTAGAGTTAACGTTTTTAACTCTTACATTAATAGGGAGTAAAATATTTGCAGGTGCATAATCGAGATAAAAAATACTAAGATCATAACATGTTCCTGGTAAAGATTAATACTAAAATTATTTTTAATTGGCCATATTATTATAATATTTATTATGTAAATCGATTTTAATTATTATTAGTGTGTCTTGTCAAATGTTTTATACTTATGGTAATTTTATTTTTGTTTCAACTGAATGACGATAAAAATACATTGTTACACCATTTATAATTACTTAAATATTATTATATTTTGTAAATAATTAAAATGTATGCTAACAACGCATATATAAAAACATTATATTTACCAGAAACTATATGTTAATTTCTATATTTATTATTTTTTTTATATTTGTACTTTGAAATTAGGCAGATTAAATAGAGTTTATAATCAACAAATTTCTAATCAAGTGGTTATTATGCGCATTTCATTTTATCGAATGATATTTATTTCGATCATTTTACACCTAAAAATAATGAATTATGATAATTATTAAAATGTACTAAACATTAGGAGAATTTAAATTGCTAAAAAGTGTTTCATTACTTTGAAATTTGTAAATCCTATGTTACAACAATTTACCTGGAAGTACTTGAACCCTGGAAGTACTAAACTCTTAATGTTAACACAAAAACGGAAAAGTCAATTCAATTTCATGACTTTTCAACATAATTGAAAACGAAATATTACAATTATTATATTTTCATCGTAGTTAACTTAATATATTATTAGTTTGTTTAACATTGGTTGTTGATATTTATATGTAACTTAAGAGTTGAAGTCATATTATTTTCAATACTTAAACTTGCCAATATTATTGATTTGCTGCTGTTTTCGTATATTACTTTCTAGTTTACCGCCTTTTCTTGATTTAGTTTTTTGTTTACTATTATTCATAATTCCATTGTTATTGAAGTTTTAGTTCACCTCCAATTTTCGATTTATTGCTTCCTGTATGTTTATTTGAATTTGTAAAGTTAGAATCATCGTTTTTGACATTTCCAGCCTTATTCTTACTCAGCACCATTTTGAATCGTACCTACCTTATTTTAAAACATAATATTTCTATAAATTATTAAAATATGTAATGGTGAGAACTAAAAAGTTTCAAGTGCCATTTTGTTATTTTCAACAAAAAAAACAGAAAGTTAAATTTAAAAGCCTGGAATAAGTAATATATATATATTATATATAATATATGTGGGGGGACTCGCAAACTGTCGACTGTGCCCCTTCCCAAAAAAAAAAAAAATTCCCTGGCTACGGTAATGGGGCCCTTGTAATTAGCCCGGTATTATACAATTTGAGTTATGCAAGTTAACTTTTTACAATTGAATGCTTTTTTTAGACATTAAAATAATGATATTTAGTAATCAATTACCTTGTGTTTTCCCACTACTGCCAACTTCAGCTGGATTTATTGGATTTCCTGCTCTATCTACTGTAACTTTTTGGCCGTTGACCATGAGTTCACCAGCACCATTAAAGTTTACAGATACTCCTGGTTGGCTTATTGAATACATTGGAATTCTTTTGCCGTTTATCACGGCTCCGTCATCATTAATAACTATATTTGGGCTCATCAACATATCATCTAGATAAAATATGATAAGTGATAACAAACAACATTTGTATCATTACTAACTTCTCGACTGGTTATTTAGTCTTGAAGATTGTCTTATACGATTTTACATTCCAACTGTAGTCTGTATGTACAGTATTTTTTTTTTTTTAAGTATAGCAGTCGGTTAACTGGTTATAGTTTGTTTATCTACATTGTTAGTTATTTTGATGTTTCAGTTGGACAACATAAATTCTGTATCCATTTTAAAAAGTTTGATTACCGAGGAAAAGACATTTTTTTTCAAAACACGTGTTCATCAGGTGAACAAAAAATTAAATTGCTACACTTTTATTATAAAATATTATAATATAGTTTACCTAATAATACAATGAAATGTTCTTTTTTTTCGACATTTCGTTCAAAATTTCTATAATAGCAAGAAGAGTTTTCTATCTAACAAATTGACTTTTTTATAATATATTTATAAAATTAGGACTCTTGGGATTGATATATCACCCTGATAAACCTTCTATAAATACACATTGAAATAATGAAAAATAACAAACATCGACTCACTGTCATTATCATTGCGTCCATTATTAACGTTGTTGAATCGTTTCTTTGGAATTTTAGTGTTGTGAAAATAGAATTCATTATTTTGTGGTGGTAGTGGATAGGGTGTTGGTGGCGTCCAAAATGGTTGAAAGTTACCTAGAATATGGTCTAAATGTAGACAGTATTGTCACAATAAAAAACTGTATTATCTAGTTTCTAAATTTTTTTCTCATGGTTAATACATTTCATTGCGATTCACAGGTTCGCATCGAAGCAAAAATAAAATGTAATTTATTCAAATCGAAGGTGCCTGTTAACGATACTATATTAGTTACCTGAAAAGTTATTCGATCCTTTGTTGTAAGGCAGTGGTGGTGGTGGAGGCGGAGGCGGTTGATACATTGATGGAGGTGGTAGATATAATGGTGGTGGTGTTGGAGACGGTAGATATAGTGGTGGTGGTTGATATATTGGTAGTGGTGATGGAGGTGGTAGATATAACGGTGGTGGTAACGGTTGAAAGTTGTCTAGAAAATTATTTATACGTAAAATATATTTTTACACTATTATATTATTTCAATACAGAGTTAGAAATGTATTTGCTTGTTTTAAATCAATTCTAATCTAACTAAATGGCGATTATATTAATTACCCCAATAATTATTCGGTCCACTGCTGAAAGATGTTGGTGGAGGTGGAGGTGGAGGTGGCGGTGATGGAGGTATTGGCGACCCGTATAGCTCTACAAAATACAACTACATATGTATAAATTATTTTAACTAACGAAATAAATATAATAATACATACTCCTATTGTTGTAGCGGTTGTTTCTACGTCCATATATCATATCTGACATGAAATCTCGCCAGTTATAGCTGTTGTCTGCATTATCATTTTGCTGCGGAATAGTTTGAACATTCTATAAATGTTTACAATTTTTCATCATTATCATCGTTTTTTCACTTATGTCATACACATCACTTACATCTACCGCCGAATTGTCACCCCAGGTCAAGAGTGTTTCTAAGCTTCTTCCTCTAGTCGGAATGTTTCCAAGGTTGTCATTAATTTTTAAATCACCAACTACATTGTTCTTGCCAACCGTGTTTCCCTTCCATTTATTATTTGCTATCAAATTGTCTGGTGTGTTTAGTTTTCCGGCGATTGTAACGGCGCTTCCATTAGCCGTTTTTTGGGTCTTTCGAAGCCCACTCGGCATGATTGGATTGCCGTCTAAAATTTAAAAAAAATAATCAGTGAAGCGGGGTCAGGGCTTAGCAGGGATGGAACATATTGGGGTGTAGGAGGTCAATAGTTTACAGGAAAGAAAGCTGAAAATTATAAAATCATATTCCAATAAACGCTTAAATGCGAAATTGTACCTAGATAGTAAAAATACAAATATCAATAAAAACATTATAATTACAAAAGTGTGCTTCAAATTCGATCGAACTTTCAAACCTTAAGCACTAAAACTGGATTTTTGGCTCAATGAAGTACTTTTCAGGTAGGATTTCTTATCTATACAGATTTGTTTAACGAAACACAAATAAAAACACATCGTTGTAAAAACGATACTTTTCCAGCCCGCATTAATGCTAAAAAGTAAAAAATTACACTCGTGCCGTTTTAAGTTTCCAGGTGGCTATGTATAAACAAATCAATTGTCTACAGATATTTTAAAAATATTTTCATTATATTGTTCATAATATTATGAATAGAAAAGGCATCAAAACATTATAAACAAACGAACACGGAACAACCCTAATTGCTGTCGCTCTATAATATTAAAAATACAATTTTAAGTACATTATTGTCTTTATAGTATGCTTTTGTCAATAATAAATATTTCTGCTTCCTATAGGTTCGCACCAAGGCGGTTATTTTGATAGCGATAAAATCACTATTAGCTATAATACTTCCTGAACACCAGTACCTCCACGAAGTACGACTACTTGGCCTACCCAACTGTCTTGGCTTTTTTTATAATCATTTAAAAACTATAACTAAAGCAAAATATAATTGATATTTTCATTTAATAATTATTACCATTGTCAAGTACAATATTATCTGCATTTCTAAAAAAAATATAAATTTTTGTTTAGTAAAAATTTAAAATAAATTTTAGTACACAAAAATTATGAGAAATACATTAACAAACCTATTGAGAACTAAAATTTTTAATCATTATAATATGTTACTTTAATAGATATTTGCTATACTTACACCGTGTATGTTGCTAGATAAACTGAACAAATTATATAAAAGCTCAACATTGTTTAGGTTTATTATCCGTATTAACGGATTAACAGTAGTTTAAATACTGCATTGGAAAACATTGTGATTGGGTTTCTATATAAGTGCACAATATTCAAAACAATTATTATTCAAATAATTATATTCACAGCTTGTGGTACAAGTGTTTATGTTTATTGATGTTTTGTTTAAATAAATAATTACTTATAATAATAAGTATTTTTTAGGAAACACAAAAGGTTTAATTATTACGACTAGTCGTTAGTTATTGTATTTTCTTTAGTCATATTGAGTGAATTTAGTTGTTAGTGAACATCTTTAACACGACCATATTTCTGTTAATAGGTGTGTTGAATATTTGTTTTTCATATTTTATGGACTTTAAAAAAAATATATCCATATTTTTTAATTGAGTTTTTTTTATTGTAGAATATATTATAATATTATGTTAACGCGATATTCGTATTTATGTACTCTGTGTGAAATATTTTGTAACATACCTAATGTATTTTTTTTATGACGAAAAACAAGTATAACCTGAGTTCTACCAAATGGTCGTTTAATTAAAAAGAATGCTACGCCATTTTATAGTTAATAATTGTTTTTGTTACTTAGTAAAACATCCACAATGTTGTTACACTATTGTAAATTAGTAGTAGTTTAAATAATATTCTCTTACCTACAAACTTAGTTGGTTTTAAATATTATGATGATTTGAGTAATTAATTTAGTTGTTTATGATATATGTGACTGATAAAACATAATTCGGGTAATATTGTACTTGCTCGACTGTTGTTTCAAACCTTGAAGAAAACTACATCCTCGTAGTTTTTCTTTAGGCAAATAGCGAGCCACATAAAGTGCTGGTATTTTACTTTAACACTGTCCTATAGGTCCTAACCGATAATTAACTATGAATATTTTATAGGTAAATACTTTCCTAATGATATCTTATAATGTATAACAAGTTCATCGGAAATTATCACAACAAACAGATTATTCATAACTTTAAAGAGATCAATTAAAAATATCGTTTTAGTATGGGATTTGAGAAAAGTTAGTAAATATCACCACCAATAGAAAATACATTATTCTTTTAGTTAGGTTTTAGGCGATTTCATGCGGTTTGACGCTTTAGATTGTTACATTGTTACCCACATAGCGTAATCAACAGTTTAATGAAAATGTTTTTCATATTAGAATTTAGATATTTATTTATCACACATTCCAGCAACAGCTTAGACATTAAAAAACGGCACGTGTTTTTTTCTCCTTTTTTAGGTTGTACCTCTCAGAGTCTAATTTTCAGTCTCAAAACTACAATTAGGTAATATGTATTATATCTATAGATATAGCCATAAATTATAATAATTATTTAAGTATGGGTGTATTCTTTTGTAACTGCACTGAATTTATATCAGTAAATTAATTTCGTTGAGAGTTGTATAAATTACTAGAGAGAGAAATGTATTTAATTTTATACCTATGTCCTACGATTTATATTTTATTACCTTTATTTCATCAGTAATATGATTTAATAAACCATATTATAGTGTTATGTGATTTATTACTACGTTACTTAAATCATTTTATTTTGTGTTGCATCTGAAGACGTATTATCAACATGTTTGGTCCTAGTCTTTATAAAATAGAGTTGGACTCTGTATTAAATGTTTTTCATTATTGTCTTATAATTGTATGCAGGAAGTAATTGTTACAACGTTTAAAAACTATTTACTAAAAAAAAATTAATATAGTAGAAATGGTTTTTCTTCAACTTATTTGTAGGTAGTTTCAACATATTAGGTTACGAATAAGTAAGATACACTTAAGGAATACTTACACAATAGTTTGTCGTTTTTTTATATATATAATTTTTTTTTTAAATATATAGCGATGTCTAAACTAATCAACGCATTATAGTTAATCGTTGATTTATTAGCAACAACAGTTTAGAGGTGTGGAGCCTAGTCCAGTTCAACTAGTTGACCATGACGGTAAATCTATATAATATGTTTATACGTTGTTGCGCATATTTTCCACGAGAGATGCGATACATTATTAACGATATTATACCAGCTTCTTTTTATGCTTGTATTTTTTTTGTTTAGGTAACTAATCTTCGAGATGGCACACTATTAAAATATTTAAACATTTTAGTGATTTCCAAAGTAAAAAAATTTACAATTTACAAGTAAGTTCTAAATTGCGATTAGGCGGTTTACTAAAAACCAAAGCTTCATTCTACCTTGTCCGATTTTGCAAAATTTTGTTCGTACACCGTTGAAGCCACACACACTACATTGTTTTCCTTCGTTGTTCAGTGTTAATAAAACGGTGACCGTACATACACACTACGCCGAATGATCTTAAGTTGTCTTAGCACCTTCCACGGTCAAATAACTAATTTGAAAGAGGGTAAAAACTACAGAACAAAAAAATAATCACCTTCTATAATCAATGATCATTATTAATTATATGTGTTTGCATATGTATTATTTAAATTTGTAGTTTAATGTATACATAGTTTTATTCAAATGAATAATATTAAATATAATTTTAAAATGTTTAAAACTGTTCGGTTTAGTTCGGACACCAGAAATGAGTACACACCTTCCGTTTTTATAACACGGAACAAAAATCAAACTACTCAGTTTTCATTCCGTTTCCGTGTACGGTGTTTTTCTTCCGTTTTAAAACTCACACACTATCCGTGTACGGTGTCCGAACTACACCGAGAAATAAAACTGTAGTGTGAGGCCACCTTTACAAGTTTATGTAACGTCAAACTTGGGCTATCGGTTCATTTGTGATTTTTTCCCTTTTTTTTTTTTGAACGTTGACTTACTAAAATACTAATCTGCCTTGACTTAAGTTACAAGTTTTCGCAATGGTTTAAAAATAATTGTGTTAACGGTTGTTATCTCTTGAATTTTAGTATAGACGCTAAAAACATAAAATAGTAAACAAACAACAATTTAAAAAAAAAAAATGTACAGCATAATATTGTAAATAAATGTAATTAAATTGTATGGTATTGATTTTTTAATCACATGTTAACTTTTTAATACAAGGTAGAAAATACAAATCTTAAACACCTTTAAGTGCTACAGAAATATAACTACATTGTACCATCACTTATACGTTAATTGGACATACGTACTAGCACGTTTAGAAGACACACATGCAACCTTGAAAATTCCAAAATTTGCATACGTATGGATTCATGCTCATTATTTTTTAACAAAAAAAAATTATGATATTTTTTTTTACATAGTATGTGTACAAAAACGTCAAATATTTTTTCTATATACATTAAAATATAATGATGATGATTATGTTTACAGAAAACTATGTGTGTGCGACTTCTTATTGCCCAACAAATCATTTAAAAAAAATTTAAGCCAGAAGTAATAATTGAAAAGGTATGTTGAATATTTTGGCGAGTAATTGAGTGTAGCTTAAACCAAAACACGGAATTAAGAAGAATTTAATGCATAGTGATTGGGTTTTGTCTGGACGGATAATAGTCATTAATATAGGAAACAACACCTCCTCCTATGGCAATTGAAGTAGGGATATTAATTGCAATTTGCATGTGATGTCTTTTAACTTTTATTCTCAATGTATTATATATATCACGTTCTTCTGCTGGCCTTCATTCCAATAATTTTGCTACACCGGTACACGTTACAGTTTATAAAGTTTTAAATCTGCAGTCATTGTATAATAGTTTATATATTTTATTATATTCATTTATTGTAATAGATATATTTAGATTATATTTTGACTTGCATATATTTAACGAAAAATTAATTATGATGGTCGATACCGCCACAAAATATTTTCTTCTCTGTTTTGTATTGTTCGTCGTTGGATCAGTTGCCAAACCGTCAAAACTTTGTATGTATATAATCTGAATTGTATTAACTTATTTCTATTTAATTGCCGTGAGGGAAATTTTCACATTTTAAAACTACGGTCTCAGCTTTTAAGTTAAGAAATTCAAAAAGATTTCTAAAGCCAATAATATTATTTTAAAAATTTATTATGGAATAAATCTAATTTTACATTCTACTTAAATGAAACCCAATAAAATGTATAGGTGTAAATGTGTAACATATTTTTATTTACAATTTATATTCATCCGTTGAATCGATTTTGATGAATTTAGCGAAAATATTTTATTATCATGTTTTGCATATTTTTATAATACCACAAATCAGTTAATTTAAGTCATAGGTCTATTAAGAGGAACGGAAAGTGTCAAATTTTGTTACAAATAAAGACTTAAACTAGAAGTGACTTTCTGAAGTGTCTACCGGGCCGATTTCAAATAATTTTTTTATGGGGGCTAAAAGGCTAATTTTTAATTTTTGTTAAAAATAAAATTAGCATTTATATTTGTACTTTTTTTATAGTTTTTTCTAAAAAAATTAACAAATTTTCGAACTGCTAAATCAAAAATCGGCCTACTAGCCCCTATAAAAAAATAATAAAAATTCACATATTAAGAAAAATAAAAATTGAAATCCTTCCAAAAGATTCACCAGAAAATTACTTCCAATATTTTTTCTCCTTAAAATTAGTCGGCATATTAAAATTGGCTACCAGATCAATATTTTCCAATATTGCATTCTTCATATTTCATTATAAATGTATATACATTATAATAATTATTATAATTATTATTTTATTCGTGGTTTTATTTCTAAAAATATCTGCTTCTTGTTTAACCGGTTTTTATCTATCGATATTAAATTGAGTTTAAATTGTAATTATACCGAAAATCATATGAGATAATGTTGATACGTTTGTATTTCCTAAATGAAGTAAAATAAAACATACAAGGCCAATATTGTAGAATTTTATTTTAATTCTGTAATCGAAATTTAAATTATGCAATTATACAACATATCCTTTATAATTCTCCTAAATAGTAGTTTGTTAGAATCTTTTACAGAGAATCTCAATATAACTATTGCTTATTTTTCGCATTTTACCGTAATTAGTCTACAATAATTAAACAGCTGAGTGGAAAAGGATAATAATATTTCATTGAAACTTGATCATTTATAAATATAGCAGGAATTATACCATTCCTATACCAGGTATTCTTTTAACGCCCCCTATACTAGTTTAATCCTAAAATAATTGCATTTTTGTAGTGTTTGTTTTTGAAAACATTTTTATTTATGTTATATTACAATAATAGACAATATTCAAATTTTTATCTGTTTTAGTATTTGCCAGTGCTTTATCAATTTTTAAAACTAAATGGTACCATAAATGTTTTATTGAATTTATAAATTAAGATTAACCTACTGCAAGTTTTGACTGGTCGATAATCTTTTTTGAATATTTATTTTTAGACTTATTTAAGTTTAAAATTATAGAGGCATAGGGCGGCTGGGTAAATGCGATAAAATATATCTACTCTCCACCCTTCCTACCGTCTAAAATTTTAAACTTTAATAACGAATTATTTAAAACTGGTTATCGATCAGTCAATATTTTCAGCAAATCATTTTTAATTTAAAAATTGATTAAAATATATACGTTACACCGAACAAATAATAACATATTATATCTTAACAAAATAACCTAACATATAAGTCATTACCTACTACAAAAATTAATATTATTTATATTTTCAGTAAAAAATTATGAACGGTGTAGCTTAAGCAGCCCAGATAAAAACGCGTGCGTTATCAATGCATTAACTAGTGCTTTGCCAACAATAGCCAAAGGTAAGATCAGTTGAGGTGTTTGTCTATATTTTGTATTTTATTTTATTTTCGCATGTTTCTCAGGTGTTCCGAGTCTAGGCTTATTTCCGGTAGATCCGTTGCGTATTTCGTTTTTGGAAATAAATCAAAAAGGCAACAGTGCTGTACAAATTAAATTAAGGTTCAAGGACTTGGATATCATTAATTTGTCTGATTCAGTCCTCAAGGATCCTAAGTGAGTAAACTATTTCAATTTAAGCAAACCGAATAGCTAATAATTAGTAGTTAACGTAATAGTTTAAATAAACGTGAGTTACCTTTCTGTTATAGGTTCGATTTTGTCAATTACAATTTTTCATTGAGTTTGGATACGAAAAAACAAATTTTTCTAAAAGGCAATTATGATGTATCTGGGAAAGTATTGATACTGCCCATCACAGGAAATGGGACGTGTAAACTGACATTTGGTAATAATATAGTTATTATTTTAAATATTTGTGACATTACAGTACATACTATACATGCAAAGTTGGGCAACATTTTAAAATGATAATAAATAATTAAACAAATTATGTATTTGAAATATATTATTCAGCATTGTTTTTAGCGGGACTGAATCTTTTTCGTGTTAGTTTGGTTTTAATACAATATTTTACTGTTTCTATTATTTCGAATTAAGCAAAATGCGACTCAAATTCAAAAACACGAGAATTATTTTGTTATTATTTACCTGAAAATCTTATTAATTCCTAAAAAAATGTTTTAATTTCTTGATTTTATTAGATAATTTCGAGGCATTTGGAAACATTAAGTTGAAGAAAATAGTTAAGAATGGAGCTGAGTATTTGAGCCCTCAGAAGATTATCTGGACTTTTACAACGTCAAAAATGTCTTTAAAATTAGACAATTTGTTCAACGGAGACAAAGCGCTTGGTAAGCTATGTTCGACGGATGTTTGATGGTTTTCAGCTGTTATTTTTTTAACAAGTAATTTTAATGAATCACTTTTTTTATTCTAGGAGACAACATGAACGTTTTTCTAAACGAGAATTGGCGTGATTTGTTAAAGGACTTGCAACCAGCTATCGAAGAAGCATTAGTTTTTGTTATTTTCGAATATGCAAAACAGTTTTTCGGACGTGTACCGCTGAGTGAACTTTTGAAAGACTAAACATTGTACTCTTAGACAAGTTTAGTTCAATAAATTTTGCTGAATTTCTCTGATGGTTTTATAATTTTTAAGATTAAATTTGTCTACCTATTTGCAATATTTTTAAGACCGTTGCGGATATTCATGACAAGTAAAAAAAAAATGGTTTTGGATTTTCGACATGCCGTTGATATATATTTTAATAAAGCTGTTAATATTTATATTTTTAATGAAGATTATTTTATTGTTGTTTATATAACTATTTATTATATATTTTGTTACTATATGATAAATTAATTTACTTCACAATTCCATAAAGGCCTTTGAAGATCAAAGAATCTAACATGCGTTTTGTTAATTTATTAAATTTTTGTAATTTTGTATTTGACTCGATAATTTTATTTAAAAATCAGGCGTCTTTTATTGATAATACTGTTTTGATATTTAGTAAAATATTTGATTATAGATGCGTTATTTTAAACAAAAATAATTGAATTCAATTTGGAACATCAAAAACTACCCAAGTAGTAATCGATATGTTCATCTGATTTTAATTTTTAGGTGTACTATTTGTGTTAAACGTTTTTAGATAGGTTTATTAAAGATAACACAAGACAGTGATATTAATTATAATCAAAGCCCAAAGCTTTAATATCACACTAGTGTATAGTAGTGCATAGATAATTGGTGTCTTTATACCTACCTATATAAAAAAAACATTATTAGATTGTTAACAAAATAGTTATAACAAACATTAAATGTTGATCTTGATAAGTACTTGGGTAAGTATTTATATGATTACATTATCAACATTTTTATATGAGACTAGTACATAGCTGCCAATGGCTATTGTCTAATTACAATTAATAGAGTTTTATTAACATACTATTAATAACACTATTTTAAATAATTAACTCTGTTAAGTGAATAGGTATGAACCTTATCCAAAACTAAACAATTAGTAATTGATCATATGAAATTACTAAATTATAAATTATTATACCAATTCATTAAAAATAACTGTAAATAGTCTGATTAAATTTGAGTTAAATAAAACAAAGTATACATAATTGTATACATACCTATAAATTTATTTTATTTTATATAATCTGAATATTGTTGTATTTTGTGTTATTGTAAACTTTCTATCAAACTCTCCACTACAAGCTATTAGCTTATAGGAGGGTTGCAAATATTACAATTTGTATTTTATTTTATTTTTGTTTATAAACGTGTACCTATACTGTATCTGTGTACAACGCGGAATTATTTGCAAATAAATATATATTATTATACTACTACGCTAGAATATTAGTAAATTAATAATTGTGTTACAGTTTATAATTATATATGTTTATACATATAATTAATATTAGGCTGTTATATTATAATGCCATTACATTTTTTCAAAACACTGACCTTCATAAAACAAAATTACAATTTACGAAATAGTAAAACAAAATCGAAAAAATTGTAATGTGCATTTATATTCCAATTAAGTATATAATAGTACTCAATACTTTTTTATTGAGATTTTGCAATTACAATTTATTTCTAAAATCATCTAATAAAATAAAACAAAATAAGATAGGTAAGAACAGAAAATAACAGATATACAACAATACTTAAATATAAAAAAACATGAAATTGTTTAGTTGGCTTTGGCACTGGAAACAGTGATAGAATTGGAATTGAAATTAAGGATAGAATACAGAATGAAAGAAATGGATCTTATAAAACTTATTAAACTATCACGTTTGGAGGACAAGGAAGGACAGTCAAAAAGAATATGATGAAGACCGAAAATAATCTCCTCAGATATGATGTAATTAAAAATTGTTATCAATAGATAATATCACTGATCACACCATAATATTATGTTTCATATATTATCATCGTTAGATGTCTTGTAAATTGTTGAGCAAATAAGTAGATTTTTTATAAAACAAATTTTAAAATTAAAACATCTCTTAAATTATAATTGTATAAGAAATTTTAAAGTAAATAAAATATTTTTTTTATCATTTTAAAATAATTTGTTTGCAATAAACACACGTAAAAACAAAGTTCAATGATAACAAACGATTTTATTAAATGGCACAAAAATATAAAACAATACAAGCAAGTAAACTTTATTGACTATAATATTACAGATATATTTATTTTAAACATTAACAAATTAATGATAATTACGGAAAATAAACACTTTGTCAATTATTGTTATAAAGAAATTATACAAAACAATAATATTAACTTTTATTAATTAGATATGTACAAACAAATATAATAAATATTTATAAGATTTTAAATATACATATTTTGTTCCTTTCGGTATTAGTTATAGTAAAAAGCATAATTATATTACTGTTAATTTTAATAAGCTTCTAATTATGTACAAAAAAGTGTTTTTAAAAGAAAATATGTATTAAGAAAAAACTAGCAGGACAAAGAAAATTTTACACAACGCGGTCTGAATTCTGGGTTTTTCTTTTTGGTGATGTGTTAACAGATTATTTAATTTTTGATTTAGTTTATATTTTTTTTATAATTTTAATAGTATTGTCGATTTTGATATTGACGAGATTTTATTAGAACAGTCAAATGGACGCGACGGCGGTATAAGGGATTTTTATACCTAGTATAGAAACCTTATAACTTTTTCAATTTTACTGAGTTATTATCCGAATTGTGCGTTCAATTGCCAACTTCTGAAACTATGGAAACCTTTTAACTGTTTCAAACAAATTAGATTTTTATTAATTGAGTTATCAATTAATGCAAGTTGAAGAGTATAGTAGTAGAAACGAAAATAAAAAAAACAGAAATGTATTTTCGTTTCGGTACTAAAATGGTATTTTGAAAACTTTAAATTGAAGACATTAAACAACAATTTCCTTAGAAAATTGCGTGAATGGGCCTAACATTTTGTTGAGAATTTCTGCCCTCGTGGTTCAACGCCAAAACCTTGTAGACCACGTCCAAGTCACCGGGTAACCTCGGTATAGGGAATCCATAGTTGAACGCGTTTTGAGGTTGTCTGAGTACACGAGACTGTTGAGCGAACGGTTCGGTCCTGAACTCCAGTTGTCTTTGCTGTATTAATTGGTGTGGCATTAATTGTTGTTGCTGTTGAAACGGAAGCAACTGGATTGGCTGTGACTGGAAAAACGGCTGTTGGAATGACTGTAGTTGCAGTTGTTGAGATGGGATTATCTGAGTGTGAGCAAACTGGTTTTGAACGTTTTTGAGCTGAACTAGCTGTTGTTGCAATGGCGGCTGTTGGAATTTCTGCGGTTGAACAGGCTGCTGTTGGACTTTTTGTTGTTGAGAAAACTGCTGTCGATTTGGCTGCTGTTGAGTAAACTGTACTTGCGTCGACTGCTGAAGGGTTGGCTGTTGTTGGTTTTGTTGTTGAGCAAACTGCTGTCGGTTCGGCTGCTGTTGTGTAAACTGCACTTGCGTCGACTGCTGAAGGGTTGGCTGTTGTTGTAGTTGTAGTTGTTGAACAAACGACTGTTGAGTGGGTTGTGGTTGAATAAACTGTGGTCTAAATGGTTCTTGTATCCTCTGCTGTTCAACAGTCATGAATTGTTGTTGCTCAAAAGCTCGCTGCTGTTGTGGCTGCTGCTGTTGCTGTTGTTGCTGTTGTTGCTGTTGTTGCAACTGCTGTTGCTGTTGTTGCTGTTGTTGCAACTGCTGTAAGATGATTTGTTGCCGGACAAAGAAGTCTTGGGGAACGTCGACCAACGATAAAGGCGTCGGCAAAATCGGTCTCCTCTCCTGCTGTACGTTTCGCTGCGACAGTTCGATCTGTTTGAACAACTCTAATTCGTTCTTGTCAGAATTTACGCTGTTCCGCTCACCACCGGCTTCTTCTTTGGCTAAAAGAGCCTGGATCTTCTGTCGCTCCAACTGCTCGGGTTCCGTGTAAATAGGAATCACGCGTCTAGGCACTCCGCTTGAGTCTTGTTGCACCGTAAACGCGGTCAACAACGGAGCTTCGAAAAAGTCAACTTCAGTTCCAGTGGGCCGCGTCGGGGACTGTGCTTCGGCCGCTGTGGCGTTAGCGTTGTTTTTAACGATGGCTTCGGCCACGGCTGGTGAGTTAGGCGTCGGGAATACGGCTTCCGTTTTTCCGGATGTCGTCGAAGCGGAAAACGCCTGACCCGAAATTAAGAAGTCCGGCTGGGCCGTACTTCTTTGTGACAGTAGTTGTTGTTGTTGCTCCTGTTCTTGTAGCTGTTGTTGTTGCTGCTGTTTTTGTTGTTGTTGTTGTTGTTGTTGTAGTTGCAGCTGTTGTAGCTCTTGTTGTTGAAACTGTTGTTGTAGCTTTTGTTGATTATCTCTTTGTTTGATTTCGGCGGTCGATTTGTCTTCTTCGTCTAACCGAGTGAGCACTTTGAGTAACGCTTTTCTTAATTTTGGATCAAGCTTCACCGTAGGTTTTTTAGCTAAATCATTGATCGAGGATACGTCTAAAGCGGCGCCAGGACTCGGCTGTTGCTGATCGGCCATACAAAACACGACGGCCAATAGCGTACATAGTGATACCTGAAAAAAAAAATTATTATTGAAAAAATGCAACTACACGGCGAAAAAAGTGAGGTCAAATACAGTTTCAATTTAATAACAAATAAAAACTAATAGGTATGGGTTGTATTTTAGAGTAGATTAATGTAATCAGCGAAAATGACATTAAAGCAAAAGGTGTAGCTAGACAATAATTTTAATTGGATAAAACTTAAAAAAAAACAATTGAAGGCTATTCAACTGATGGAGTAGGCAATAGATAAGAGTGGCTGTGGAGTATGAGACAGTATGTAGAAAAATTAAAGAAGAACACCAACAATTTGTGACTTTAACGAATAGAAATAGAATTTAAAAAAAGTAATAACATCTATGGACTATGTAGAAAGTGTTCCATTTCAAAAAAAAAAATAATAATTTAGTAAGTTATAATTCGATAAAATGCAATCAATTCACAAAACGTCGTTCCTTATCCCGTAAGTCTTGTATTTCAGCCAAAAAAATACTGGCATACCTTAACGAGTAGTCTAATCAACACTTTCTGCAGTTACTCTGTGAAAACCATAATAACAACACGGCAGTCGCTAAAAAAAACTCATCGTGCCAACTTATACTTCACCGCCGAACGTCATTAAAATAGCGTTATGTAATCGTTAAAGTCTAGTTTATTATGCGTTATTATAATAAAAAATACTCATCACACCGTGATCGCAAAAACAATACCACGGTTGCGCTTAAACCGTGTGAACCGGACTGGATAATATTATTGTATTGTAAACCATGTTCGACGGTCGTGTCTAGTGTTGGTGAGCTTATTATCTTGACCGAGTTAATGTTTTATAGGCGTATCTAATTTTTTTTCCCTGCTACGTTAACGACCGCCGTTTGGAGAGTTCGTATAGTGTTGTTGTTGTTGTTCTGGATTACAGTGGAAACAATAATATTATGATATACACCTGATGGGAAAACGATATTGCGCTTGTTTCGTGAAGTCCTTTTTGGGCGCTAAGCACGCGCTGTTGTCGGTCATATTTCACCGCGGTCGACGGTGAAATCACACACAAACCGTGTTGTATAGAATGTACATATAAACTATATAATAGTACAGAATGAGTTGCGGCCACGCTGCCTCGTCTGAATCATGCTTTGGTTTTTTTTTTCATTTTATTTACACGACCGGAATCGTGTGCGAATATTATATTATCCAATCGTGAACCGTTGACCCGACGCCTATGAAAAACGACCTTTCTTCTGCAGAAAGCCAAGATAGTGAAAGCGAGATCTGGGTTGGGTTCATATAATACAACGCCAAGGTACTGGCGCGGTAGTAGTTGGTGCTTACCGTCAAAATTTCAACGCAACGCGTCCCGGGTAAATCTTTACGACAACAGTAATAATAAGCGTGTATGTATTGTTATTATTTTTAGATGTGCCACTCACGACTGGCACGCGCCTTATCGACGCGCGATCGCGTTCGTTTTTTTTAAATTCTTTTGCGGTGAAGAAGAAGACTATAAAAAAAAATATGTATGTTTAAAAAAACCACATGATATTAACTCTTTTCGGATTTTACATAAGATGATGGCGCTAGAAAAAAAACGCTAAAGCCACTTTTGCTAACCGTTTCGTCGAATATATTGAAAACGATTGGATAGTTTTTCAAAACGCCAACACGATATGGCCCACAGCGGAATAAGCATTATAATACCACGTTATACCACAGATAACATATATATGTGTGTGTGTGTATGCTGTCGGATCAAAGAGTTTATAATATTATAAATTATTCTATTGTAAGAACATTACTCGAGTATAGAATCTATACTCGGGTAATGTTCTTACAGCAATGGTATTTTGCGCTTATTCATCGACTGCTTTGTCGGATTGGATAAGCCACATGTATAGAGATGATAGAGCATACCGCTTGTTTGCTACAACAACGACATAAAATAAAAATCGTCATTTTTGAGTTGTTTGTAAATAATAATAAAATTGGTGTTTATTTTTATACTGTTAGAACGACATAAGTGAACATACAAAATTAGCCGCTAAACGGCAGTTGTGACGTTATTGCGTTATCATTGGTTATCCATGTAAATTAAATTTTCTAATTCAATTTGTGTAAAATTATGTTTTTTGTGTTATGTCGTTGTAGTAGCAAACAAGCGATACTATGTAGCTGTAAGATTAGAGAGGTCACATCACACATCACTTTAGGCACCTTTGTGACACAATTCACATTAAGAAACGATTCGATGCGAATCTGTAAACGGTATAAAAGATATAGGCAAAATCTGTTGTTACTATTGCAATAAAAAACCATAGTATAGTCATTTCTACATTTTAACAGTATATTTTGTTTGTAAAATAATTAGGTATAAATACTGCTATGTATTGTTTTTAGTATATATTTTGGATTTATATGACGTTCTTAAAGTACTTTGACATTTTTTTTCAGTTTAAACATAAATTATATGTACGTTTAGGAAACAAATTATTATATTGTGCTAAATTTTAACTGGAAAAGAGTGCACTTTTTAACTTTTGGCCCAATAAACTAAATTGTGGGTACAAATGTACGATTTTGATTTTTAGATTTCAACCACATGAAAAAAACGGCGCAATGATTGAAAAAAATTATAGTTGGTCCAAACATAAAATTAGAAAACAATAATAACACATAATTTAAAAACTTTCTCAGTTTCGTATCAAAGCTATTAATCGTTTCAAAAACAATACCATTTTAAAAAAATCAAAATAACTTTTACTAAATTAAAATTGGTTTATTAACGATAACATATTTTATGAAAATTTCAATTACTGACCGTGTCATAAAACCATAATTTAATGGAACGACTAATGGGCAATTTAAAATTTTAGAGTCTATATATATATATATCTTATATAGTTATTCGCTTAAGAGGAAGACACGTTTTCAGTTGTGCAATTATTTTTAACAAATAGTTTGAAAACACCCACACAAATTCGAAATCCAGGTTAAGTAGTCGTTTTATTAAAATTCATATTTACATTAATTTCAGAGTAATTGTGCAACATCTTTTTTTCGAAAAATATATTTTACGAACAAATATTGAGATGTATTTTATTATATTTATTAGCTATTACTATATCTGTCATGATACCAGATACGTAGATGTATTATTATAAACTTACGAGAAATTGTATGTATTTATGCCCACGTGTAGTTCTAAGAAGAGAGAAAACTAAAGATTTGATATGGTAAGAAAAAAAAATATATAATATTAAGGGAATCTTTCTTTGTGGTTTTGTTATGTAAAAATTAAAGATGTTATTTAACATAATATATGTAGGTATGCTATTAAGTGTATTATATAACGGTATAATATATTATATTATAGTCACAATATTTTTATTATAGTTATTAAGCCATTAAAAATAATGCGTCATAGAAGGTCCTACACAAGGGTCAGGTTTTTATTTTACAACTAAATTATTTTTCATCTTATCCGCTAAACATTTTCAAAATATATACCAAAACCTTAATAACTAATAGGTTTTTTTTTTGTAAACTTTGTGTGTTTAGTTGTTTAAACCTTCTCTTAAGTCTAACACTTTAAAAGCAGTTTTAAAAATCATAATGTGTTATCAGACAGCCGTTATTTATGTGTAATGACATACAGCTATTAATTTGACACAAAAAATAAAAATTCGGCATGTCATTTAAAACCATGCATTTGGTATAAAAAGCCTAAGCCTAACCTATGTTTTTGTCAAAAATCTGAGTTTTATCTGGTTTCTTTTTAAAAAAAAGTGGTGTGTTTTCGCCAACTCCTGTGTAAATTTTATATTGATATTTTACATTTTTTCCTCAAACTCTGGCCACGCCCACGCTATAACTTTCCCTGTAAAGCTAATTTTTATATTTTACCCGTTAAAAATCATGCGGACCGGGTAGTTTCGCATCTCTAGTACAAAAAAAACTCACGGGTGCAGTTGTCGGTACATCATCATATACGGTTCGTGCCCACAAGCGGAAGAGGTAATAGTATTTTTGCCATAACAATATAATACAAACATTGTATTTTCTTACACGGAAACGGGCGGTGGGAGGACACGAACGCCAAACACTGTATACGGTCGGCTACTACTACAACTGCAACAAGATATTATTACTACTATAAGATTTCCTCGGGCCCAAGACAAGATGACGGTCGGCACAGTCCTATGCTGTCCTACCGGTATCATCATCCGAGTTCACACGGTGTTGTTCGCGCCGGTTGTGATGTAATGATAATAATAATAATAATACAACTGTCAGGACGGCGGTGGCGGCTGTTTAACGACTTGGCGTAAAAACAACCGCGGGTTCGGTGTATAATATTATTATATATTGTAACATAAAAAAAAAAATACCATAATAACAACCATAAGACCCCCCTTCCCCCCCTCCCGTGACAAGAGATAACCTCTGTGCGATCAGAGAAAGTTCACCGAAGCTCGCACGAGTTCGCCCATCACTTAAGTCACCGTTTCTGGTCGCCCAAGACTACTTTCGCGACCAATCGACTGACGTCGTCGAGTTGTCGAACATCCCGGGATTTTTAATAATAATAATAATGATAAAACCGAAATGAAATTAAAAAAAAACAGTTTGAATTTCACGCCGTGTCGTCTTGGGGGTCACCATCCGAATTACTGTTATCAATCTTGTGTTTGAAACGCTTTTGAAAATATATATATATATATATATTTTTTATACATAACGCACACACACACTCACTTCCTTACATCGGTCGTTTGCCGGGGGCGACGCTATCGGCCGAAGAAGACGACTCGGCACGACCAGAAGAAAGTCGACCCGTGTCTAATAACAGCTAAGAGGATTATTAATCGTACGAATATAATATATTACACACACACACGTCGGGCGCAAATAGAAGATTTACACGCCTTAATCATCCATATAGCTCGCCTTTCGACGGTGATCTCGATCGGTATTTTTTTTATTGTGTTAATGACGGACGCCCCGCCCAACGTTTTGT